GTGATTGCGTATTTTTGACTTACCGGTATGCCGCTCAGCGCCATTTTGTTTTACTTCTTTTCTGCTTATTGGGGCGTGTTGTTATTCGTCACGCGTCAGCACACACCGAGCAACATGTCAAAAAAACAAAACGCAGGCTTCTTCGCCCCTCGCGAGGGCCTCCGCAGCCACAATCCTGTGCGTGCGTGCATTCTCAGCGTTTTAAACACGGCATGTGTGTGCATGTGCTTGTGTGTTTGGCAGCGCCTATAATTGCAGAGCAGCTGTGCGCCACAAGAGAGTCAGAAGAAAGCAACGGCAGAGAGAGGCAGATAGCACACACGCACAAATTACTCATATCATCACACACAAACACACACACGTAGCCCGCGGAATGGGTGCTCTCAACCACAAAACAATGAAAAACAAAACAAAAAGCCGGAGCGTGGGACGACCAGCGCACACACTCTCATTGCTCCCGTAAAGCAAAACACACACACAGGGAGAGAGAGAGAGGTCGCCCACTCAATGCAATAAAAACAAAACAGAAACAGTTACGGTGCTCCGCCCATGCAGCCAGGCAGGACGGCAGAGGTGCGTGTCGTGCAAAAGAGAGCACCAACGGGCCTGCATGGGTGTGCATGCAATATATACAATGGGCACATTATGTGTGTGCTTCGTGGGGTGAGGTGAGGGCGAGAGTCCATGCAAGGGGACACACACACAGAGAGTGAGAAGGACAATTGTGTGTGCGGGCGGTGCACGGCTCTCCCTCCCTCACTCTCACGCGGCCACCACCGCAGCAGCAGCCGCACACGCAACAACAACAAGAAGAGGCAAAAGAGGGGGGGTGGTGTGCGAGACCGCGGTGCTGCTGTCGCTATTGCCAGGTGTCACCGTATTATTCGTTTTGGCGTCGGCGAGTGCTTTTTCTGTTTGTGTTGCTGCATCACCGGTTGTAGAAGCAAGGTTTGTATAACCAGTTTCGGAGTTCTTGTTTGTTCCTTCGTATTTAAGTGCTTGAGCATTGCTATTGTCCGCATCCGCATTTCTCCGGGCATCGGCACTGCCACTTGCGGGGATGGGTGATGCTGTTGTTCGCGCTGGACTGTCTTGCTCTGCCAAATCATCCCCTGAAGGCTGTTCCACCGCTTTGGAATCCGTTTCGTTTTCTGACGGCAATTTTTCATTCTTTTCTTCCTTTGAGTTCTGTGCGACGTTTGTTGCTCTACGGCTTCCTTCTCCTGCTGAAAAACTCGGTGCTGTTGATTTTTTTTCTGATGGTGCCAGTGCTGATCTTTCTGGTGATGGTGCTGCCGGTGATTGTGTTAATAGTGGCGTTGTTTGTTGTACGGGTGGTTTGCTGGCGGCAGACGACGACCTGGAAGGAATTCCCGTCTCCACAGTATTCTGCACGTTCTCTTTTCCGGTTGTGACCTCCTCTGTGTCTGGACTATCTTCTGTGTCCTGCTCAGTGGAGGACTGCTCTTCTGCTTCTGGTTTTGGCATCGCGGGTGCCTGTGATTTGGGCAGTGAGGGTGCTGGAGGCGTCGTTCCTGAATGCACACCTGTTTCTGAGAAATTATTCTTCTGAGACGATAAAGCACCGTCGGTATTCTGCAAACCACCAGCGGCAGCATTGGGAAGGGGAGGCGGAAAGTTCACGACAGGACCAGAAGCCTCCAAATTCAAATCCTCACTTCCGCCAGAACTTTCACTTGAGCCAACACCATCAACACCAGAAGGACTGCCACCACCGGCTTCACCGAGACCAGATGCTTTTGGTATCGTTAGTGGAGCTACCTCTTTCGATGAACTTTTGGATTTTCTGGTTTGTTGCGCATCTTCTTTTTCTTTACTTTTCTCTTTTTCTTCTTCTGGTTCTTCATCATCATCATCATCATCATCATTATCTTCTTCATCTTCTTCAGCTTCATCCTCTGAAGATGTGGGAGGTTTTTTCACTTTAATACTTCGTGCTTCATCTTTTAATTCTTGCTTGACTTGTGGAGACGTTTCAAGCTGTTTTGATTCCGGCGGAGGCCCACCACCACTCCCAGAGCCTGCCGTTTCTCCCCCGTCACATCTGCCGCCGGCACCGCACCACAGCACGCAGAGGGCACACACCAGCAGCACACGGCCAGTCATCATCATCACCATCACTCCTGTCACTTGTGTGTAGCCTTCAGCACAAACTAACTCCCCGTCAACGCAGAGCGAAAGCAAAAAGGAGAGACTCGACCGCTACACCACGCACCGTCACCGTACAGCAACAAGTGCACACACCATGAGGCAGTTGGAATCAGTACAATTGCAGAACTCACACACCGCCCTGCAAACCAGAAGTTAAAAATGCAGTGAAAAAGAACAACAACAGATTTGAGAGTCCGGCATGAGTCTCAAAAAGTAATAAAAAAACGATCAGACACGACTTTTATTTTAATGTGCCAATCAGCAAAATGTAAACGACCACTGGTTTGTGTATACTTAATGCATGGACTGAATAAAGCAAAAAAAGATCGTACTGTTCCGTGAGCCCACACAACATTCCTCACGTTTCATGCGGCATCCGGCCTGTCTCTCCAATCCTCCTCTTGTGCAGTCCGTGGGACGCACAGCCGCAGGGTCGGCACCGCGTGTGAGCAAGAGAAGGAAACAAAAGAGGGAGAAGCACGTCACTCATGACAAAGTACTGCAAACGAGCATTGGGGGAAAACACAGGAATGCTGATTATTCCAATAGGACAAAGGCAGCAAAAACAAATAAATAAATAAAAGAAAATAAAAAAACTTAAATTATTGACAAAACTCAGTGGGTAATGCTGGCAAGCTGCACAGTTATTGTTGCACGAAAAGCCGCAGTTCCACCCTCCCTCACACTTCAGCAGAGTGCCGCAGTGCCTCATAGCCCCAGAAGCAGAAGCAATAACACCCGAGACACACACCCATGCACGGTGATGTCACCAATTTCAGCCATGGCCAACAAATCCGTGAGATGCCCGTGCTCACAAAAAAACGTTGCGCACAAGTGATGCTGCGTTGTGCTCCGATGGGATCTCCGGTTTCCCAGACGTTGTGCGCAAATAATCCTGTGTGGCATCACCGCCGCCCGACACGTTATCACTCGTTCAACATTTGCTAGGGCTGTGCTGGGCTCAGGCGTGGCTGTTGCACCATCCAAGGGCATTAGATCACTGTTGCTGAGTGAATCGGGGTCGCTGTCCGTGCCCACGGCAGCGCGGCATACGTGTCCTATTCATGCTCAACGTGTTGTTAGTCGCTGGCAACTGTGTTGGCGGTGGACGGCTCGTCGTCTCTCGCTCAGCATGCGTCTGGATCCGCTGCGCTGCCATTTGACTCCCCGGAGAGCCGCGCTCCCTCTGAGGCCTCACCGCGCAGCTGCCGGCAGCTTTGCATGCTCCTGCCGAGCGGAGTGTCCTGTCACTGAGCATGGCCTCAGACAGTTTTCCCAGTTCCCCGTCTGGCAGCAGCATCCCAATCGCCCACACGAGTTCCTGCCGCCACAGACTCCCTCTCGACGATGGAGGTGCTCCGCCTTTTCCCGCTGGCGGTGCACAACGACGTCACCGAGAGGAGTTCCACCGTGCCGCTTTCACTGGCGGATCGAGGTCGCGCTGTTGGCTCCACATTTTCCTCATGACAATGCGGAATCCCACGCAACGTGACAGCGGATGCCATCATGGCACGATCCCTCCCGCAGGAATGCGTCAATGCCTGGCGCGTGGGCTTCCTCGTTGCAGTGAAGCGACGGAACTGAGAGGAAGTGCAGGAGGAAAAGGAAGGCGCGCACACCGCGTGAAAGGCGCTTGTCGGTGTGGCGAGGGCTCTAATCCTGGTGTCAACCCGGACGTCGTGCCCTGAGTGGCGGCACGGCGCACAGGCGCGTTGCGACTCCTGCCCGCTCTTCGACAGGCCCGCACGCGCCCTGCATATCACAAGTAACTCCCTGTGTCGGTGGCGCCGTCCTTTCTTCACTGAGGAGGTCGGCCCGCCACTGCCTCCGCCGGAACTTCTTCCAGACGTGAGCACCGCAACTTCTTTCCGACCAGCGAGCGGCGGATTGAAGTCGTCCTGCCCAAACTGCGGCAGAGTGCGCTCGTTTGTCCGCAATATGACGGCACATGCCCGACGTGCTCGGCCTGGCGTTCCGATAGTGGGAGAGGGCCTCAACTTTGCATGCCGCAATGGCTCCACCGTCTTCTTAACAGACGTCTTGCGCGCAGGTTGCCACCGAACTCGCCAAGCATACCAGCAGACAGGACACGCAGGAAGCACAAACGCGGGCATTCGAGATGGACCAGGCCCTTCCGCCACCGCCGCATCACGGACGCCACGTGCTGCTGATCCCCGACGGACCACGGGAGACTCCGCTTCATCCACTGTGGTAATGCCCCGTCGTTGGGAATAAGGGGTGCGACTGTTTGGGACTGCCTCAGCCTGCAAAACGAACTGTTTGCGACGGAATACTTGCCACTTTTGTACGGACGGCTCTTGCGCTCCTCACCCGTTATTTGTAAAAGAGTGCGACCAAAACAAGATAACAAGTTGCTTTGTGATAAATATTGGCTGCGCCTCCCGTGGGCCAACAATTCACGTGGTGTGCGGGGATCATTCTTTTTTAATTGTTACTTTGCTTTTGTTTTGCTGTGGGCGCTGCGCCTTCTCTTGTGTGTGTGCGTGCCCTCCGTGAGGGGTGCCGACACGACGGACCGCTCTCGCCGTGTTTGCATGGGGTGGAGCCTTGTGTGCCGCTCCTGTTTGCTTCTCCCTCTTCCATCTGTGTGTTGGTGTTGCGGCAGGGCTGTGTGTGTGTGCCTGTTGCCGTGGATTGGAGTGTGTGTCGTGCGTGGTGTGCGGTGTACGGTGCATGCCTGGCTGCTGCCCTCTCCTCATGTGGTGTGCCCTCTGTGTGTGTGTCTGCCGCACCTCTCGTCTCCCTGTTGCTCTACATGTCCCTCACTGTGCAGATCAGCTCCACACCACTGAACGACCACACTCACGATGATGACGTGCCGTCTGCTGTGCTCCCTGTTGTTGCTTGTCCTGTGCTGCTGCCCGTCCGTGTGCGTGACAACAAGTGAAGAAACAGCTGGTAAATCTGGAAGTGATCCCGTTTCACCAAATTCTAATCCAGAAGGACAAAATCATTTGACGGAATCGCTAAGTACAACTCCTTCTCCACCAGAGAATAAAGAAGAAGGAAGAGAGACGGAAGATTCACAAAAAATGGAGGCTCTTGCGTCACATACAACGAGTACAGTAACCGAAACACCACAGTCACAAAATACTTCCAATAATACACAGGATCAAGATGGTGGGAAACCCACTACTGAAGTTGCAGATATTGATAAGGCCAATATGTCAAATGAACAAAATAAGAAAAAATATGCACCAACTGCGACCACAACGACGACCACGAAGACCACCACCAAGGCACCAGAGGCACCAAGTACTGCGACTACAAAGGCGCCAACTACGACGACCACCCGCGCACCGTCAATTCTTCGCGAAATCGACGGCAGCCTCAGCAGCTCTGCGTGGGTGTGTGCCCCGCTGCTGCTTGTCGTATCCGCGCTGGCGTACACCACTTTGGGCTGAAGAAGTGTATGCGGGCTGTGCGTGCCAGCACTCAACCGTGGGGATTTGTGCGCGTTCACTGTGGTCCGATGTAAATAAATAAGAGAAAATAATGATTGTGTGTTTTGCTTCATTTGCTTCCGCTGCCCTGCTGTGTGCTCCGTGTTGCTGCTCCCTGTATCCGTCACGTTGAATACATAACAGACACACTTATATGCAAAACACGCACACAATTGTTTGCGTGGACGCATTTTTTTTGTGCTGGTGCATGCGCACTGGAGTCATTCGGTGCAGTTTTTTTTTTTTTTTTTGCTTTACTTTATTGCTGCTTGTTATTCCTGCGTGCACGCGTCTCCCATGCTCATTACAACAACTCTCATTTAAACGCCACCCCTTCTTCTCTATACTGCCGCTGCTGATGCGTCTGTGTGTTCTTCTCATCCTCCTCTCTTTGCCCCTCTCTAGACTGTGTGTGCAGCCGTGATGATGATGGTGACTGGCCGCCTGCTGTTGCTATGTGCCCTCTGTGTGCTGTGGTGCGGTGCCGGCGGTGGTGGATGTTCTGAAGCAGCTCCAGAAGCTCAGCTTATTGAGTCCGAAGACAATAAACGTAAGGGTGACAACACCACAACTGATGGCGTTGGAGAAGTTGACCGGTTAGGTCAACCGGCAGCGTCGCAAGCAGCAGAATCGGTGCCTGTATCGGGAGCGGAAGAGGAATCGGCATCGAACCCATCACCGGCAAAACAATCCGCAGCAAAGGCATCGGAAGTGGCAAATGCAACGACGGAAAACAACAAGAACACAACGAAAAAAGAAGATAAAGCTGATAATGAGGAATTGAAGGATGAGGAAAAGGAAGACGAGGAAGAGGAAGAGGGAGAGGAAGAGGAAGATGAAGTAGAAGTGGATGATGGCAAAGAAGAGACGGAGGAAGAGAAAAAGGAAGAAGAAAAAGATGATACCAGCACTACAAAGAGGATTTCAGAAGGCGGTCAGGAAGAGCCAACTTTATCTTCTCGTGTGGAGGAAGCATCGAATAAAACAAAACCCCAAAGCACTCAAACAACTGGCGACAAAGATCCAGCAGCTGATGGTGCAGTGACGCAAGAAGAAAAACAAAATGAAAATAAAGAAGCCAATCCGAAGGAAACACCAGTCGAAGCCACAGTAATGAAAACCACGACGGCGACGACTGGCGACAGTGAAGGCAGCACCGCGGTCTCCCACAGCACCTTCCCTCTTTTGCTTCTTCTTGTTGCGTGTGCGGCTGCGGCTGCGGTGGTGGCCGCGTGAGAGTGAGGGAGGGAGAGCCGTGCACCGCCCGCACACACACTCGTCCTTCACTCCCTCTCTGTGTGTGTCCCCTTGCATGGACTCTCGCCCTCACCTCACCCCACGAGGCACACACATAATGTGCCCATTGTATATATGCATGCACACCCATGCAGGCCCGTTGGTGCTCTCTTTTGCACCACACGCACCGCTGCCGTCCTGCCTGGCTGCATGGGCGGAGCACCGTAACTGTTTCTGTTTTGTTTCCATTGCATTGAGTGGGCGACCTCTCTCTCTCTCTCTCCCTGTGTGTGTGTTTTGCTTTACGGGAGCAATGAGAGTGTGTGCGCTGGTCGTCCCACGGTTTTTTTTTATTGTTTTTATTTTTTTACTTTTTTTGTGGTTGAGTGCACCCATTCCAGTTTTTTTTTTTTTGAATTGGTGGATGCTTTGACTGCGGACGCCCAAAATTGTCTTTTCGAATTCTTGTATTCCTTCTTTCTTATTGAGAGAGTGTCAGCCTCTTGTATCCTTGTGACGCCACCAAGATGTTTTTTTTGACATACGCCATGCGTCCGTTCATCGACGTTACTTTGCGGCCTGCGGCGCTCCCTGTGCTCGTGTTATTGATGATGTCTGCGATGCGATTTGTCGGCGGATGTCTTGCTGTCAGCCTGACGTGTCCTTCGTTCCTTGACGATTTTTTGCGCACAGACGGTGCGTGGGCGTCTCTGGTGGTAGTGAGGGACGCGTGTCTCAGAGCGCAGGATGCGTCGCGGATGTGCGGCGTCGTTTGTGAGAACCGATGGGTGACCATCCGCATCCAGGCGTCATCAACGGACTGTGAGGGCAGCATAAGGCACTGCGGCTTCTTTTGGTGTTGCGCAAAGAATTTATTGGACGGTGCTTTGTATTCAATCTTTTGCAGCTTTTGTGGGGAAGGTGGGAGGTTGAGGGCATTAGGACTGAATTCATTTGAGTGGCTGCGTTCCGTTGAGTTGCGGCCAGTCGTGGCACTCTTTTGGGGTTTTGCCGTTCGTCTCTTTTGTTTACTTCCCACCGCAGCACGTGGATAACACTGATCCGAAGAACATTTGTTTGACCGCGTGTGAGCTGCTGCCGTGCGTGGTGCATGGACTATGTGATTGTGTGGGGAGGTGCATTGGGGTGACGAATACTTCTGTTTGGCGTGTTGCGGTGTGCCGGAATGATGTTCGGATGACATGTGAGGGGTGTTGTTTGTGATTTGTGTGTCTTCTCTGGTGGAGCCGACATGTGTGCGGGGATTGTGGCATTGCTGGCTGACAGCTCCACGTCACTTTTCGGCATTCCTGGATGTGCTGAGGAATGACGGCTGGCGACCAGCGTGTTGGTGCTGCTGGTGGGAATAAGTGCATCGGGAATAGGCCGTTTTCTCTTTTCCGTGCTGGAGCCGATGAACTGGCACGAGGGCACCGGCTGCAGGCTGCCTGCCAGCACGTGTGAGCAGCGGATCCATGCACACACCGACGCTCATCGCAAGAGCGTGTGCGATCACAGTGGCCTTTTGTGGCGTGCTTTTGTGGACGTCAGCCCATCGAAGAATGTGTGAAGCAAACGGCTGACTGCACACGAGGAAAATAAGTGCGTGCACTGTGCCGTGTTTCAGCGTCGATGGCAGGGCGGCAGGAAGCCCGTGCTGGCAACTGAGATGTTTGCGTCGCGAGGGATGTCGGTGTTGATTTTGGATCGTCGAGGGTGAAGTGATTTTGCTGCTGCCCGTGTGTGTGACCACTCCGGCAGAGGGCGGACACAAAAGGGAGAGATGCAGGCGCTGCGTGTGTGTGTGTGCGGGTGCCATGCAACAACGTCACAACAAACATGCTGCGACTCGGTGACCCTCACATTGTTGTGGTTCTCACGAACAGCCGAGGCACGGCCCACACCGATGCACTTAGTGGACGGAGTGAGGCATCTTTTGAGGCGCAGCAGGGAACAGGATTTGTTGACGCAGCCACGACGTGCATGGAGTGTCACGATGGCACAGTCAGCTGTGGCTGGTGGAATATTCACTTCTCGGAGGCAACAGAGAGAGAGAGAGAGAGAGAGAGAGAGAGCTGCTCCTGCTGCTGGCGTCGTTGCTGCCTCTTTTGGCCTCCCATGCCGATTATTGTCTGTCCGCTGATCATGGGTGGCATGCCTCCACTAGTGACGTCGTCTGCAGGCATTTCACAGCACCAGTGAAACACACATCACGTCGCATGCTTTGGCTGTGGATATGGTGTCGTGAGTGCAGCCGGCATTATTTTGCCCGACTTCTTTTCACTGCTTTGCGACGAATAGATGCGTCGCCGCCCGAGTCATTCACTGCAGCTCCGTGTGTTGTGCTGCCGGCACAAGACTCTCTTGTTGTCTGACGCCTGGATGACAGTCGAACACCACTGCGTTGGGACATGCAAGGATTTGGACTGCCGCTCACGGTGTTGGGCACCGCTGTTTGGATGCGGCGGCCACACGAGCGGATGTATTGTGGCACAATCAAATGCGTGAAGTACGCGGAATCACAGCGGCTGCAATAATATCAGCGGTGTGGCACCACGGAATGTGTGAGAGGGTGATGCATGATGAATCACAGTGGACGGCATGCGAGGGAAGTGCACCGCGACGGAGCGTCATCCCGCCCTCAGCCTGCAGGGGAATGTACACCCACAAAATATATGGCCGAGACACCACCAAACACACATGCCCTTCCATGCACCAATAAATAGGAGCGAAGGTGCGTTCTGGTGTGTGGGAGTCCACTCACATATTTTCATTTCCACCGCAATAAACGGTGAGGAATCAGGAGCCACAGCAACGAAAGGAAAAACAAACATCTATTGCATCACTTTACCAGCGAAAGGCAGGAACAATACAAACCGAATTATTGGCTGCACCAACAAAAGAAACATTTAAAAGAGGAGAAAACATAATAATTGTGCACCCTGCAGAAATCCCCAACACACGACCCAGGCATGAAGGTGTACCCTCCGCAAGACAAAGAAAAAAAGTATGCAGGCATCTGCCAACATCCAAACAGAAACACAAATAAATGGTTGCTTGCATTATTCCATTCCTTGCACTTATATTTGCATTTGCGGCTGCTGCTGTGATGGTGGTTGCCGGGCCTGCATGAAGTGGTGTGCGCTGAATATGAACGAAGGCCGAAGGTAACTGAATTGATTTTGTGATGAATATTGGCTGCACTTCCCGTGGAACAACATTTCACGTGATGTGCGGCGATCTTCTTTTTTTTGTTACTTTGCTTTTGTGTTGCTGTGTGCGCTGCGCCTTCTCTTGTGTGTGTGCGTATCCTCCGTGAGGGGTGCAGACACGACGGACCGCTCTCGCCGTATGTGCATGCGGTGGAGCCCTGTGTGCCGCTCCTGTTTGCTTCTCCCTCTTCCATCTGTGTGTTGGTGTTGCGGCAGGGCTGTGTGTGTGTGTGTGCCTGCTGCCGTGGATTGGAGTGTGTGTTGTGTGTGGTGTGCGGCGTACGGTGCATGCCTGGCTGCTGCCCTCTCCTCATGTGGTGTGCCCTCTGTGTGTGTCTGCCGCACCTCTCATCTCCCTGTTGCTCTCCATGTCCCTCACTGTGCAGATCAGCTCCACACCACTGAACGACCACACTCACGATGATGATGAAGTGCCGTCTGCTGTGCGCCCTGTTGGTGCTCGCCCTGTGCTGCTGCCCGTCCTTATGCGCGGCTGATTCACCGGGGAAGCCTTCAGTTTCCGAAGTTCAAGTTGATGGTAAAGGCACCGGTCAATTGTCCCATGCACCTGGAGAAACACCAGCCACGACGGTCGGTTCGGCAGTTCCGGGGCCGGTTGAACGGGGAAGCGAAGCTGGACATGGTGGAGGTGCGACCAAGCCAGAACCGCAACCAAATGCTGCTTCCAATAATTTACAAGAAGGTGATGATATGAAAAAGGCAGAAAATGGCACGAGTTCGTCCGCAGAACACAGAAATAAGAGTGAAGAAGATTCCGCCCAGAAGACCACGACAACTGCAACCACTACAACAACGACGACAACCACCACCACGACCACTGCGCCAGAGGCATCAAGTACTACGAATACCGAGGCGCCAACTTCGACGACCACCCGCGCACCGTCACGTCTTCGCGAAATCGACGGCAGCCTCAGCAGCTCTGCGTGGGTGTGTGCCCCGCTGCTGCTCGCCGTATCCGCGCTGGCGTACACCACTCTGGGCTGAAGAGGTGTGTGCGGGCTGTGCGTGCCAGCACTCAACCACGGGGACATGTGTGCGTCTACTGTGGTCCGATGTAAATAAATAAATGAGAATAATCTTCTGGGCAGCTGGCCGGATCCTGAAATAATCTATGGAAACCAAACAAGTTAGGAAAAAAGGTTCGTTAGTTAATTGCTTCAATGTTTTCTTTTCATTCAATATATATAAATTCTGTGGACCACTAGCATGGTCCTTAGTTCTCAGTTAGGATTTACATATTATTACTTACGAAGTGGCAGACTTTGGGGTCCTCCAACCACAAGACCCCGCCGCGTGGTGGGAATCAAAAGGGGGTGGGTGGGATGGCAAAATAAAAACAAAAAATTATCTTGCCGCTATCGGCTCCCTGCCCCTACAAAGTCGCGTTCTTCCCAAAAGATTCATACGGTAGAAAAGTATCATAAAGAATGTCTGCATTTATCAGGATGTAAAAATACATTAATTAAGTTAGCCAGCTCTCCCGCGATCATTCTTTTCACAAGCTCCTAGAAAATAATGATTGTTTTTTGCTTCATTTGCTTCCGCTGCCCTGCTGTGTGCTCCATTTTGCTGCTCCCTGTATCCGTCACGTTGAACGCAATCCGGAGACACACTCATGTGCAAAACAGACATACAACTGTTTGCGTGGACGCATTTTTGGGTGCTGGTGCATGCGCACTGGAGCCATACTGTGCAGCTTTTTTTTGTGTGTTTTTAATTTTTTTTTTACTTTATTGCTGTTTGTTTACCTGTGTTTTGTTTTTAATTGCTTCGTGTGTTTTTTCTGTTCACTTGCTACGGGGCGTTGTGTGTGTTTTTTTCCTTCCCACTGGTTCCAACTGCCTCATGGCGCATGCGCTGCCGTTGCTGGACTGCTGCCATTTGTGTCTGTGTGGTGGCTTTGTGTGGTGTAGCGGCCGTGTCTCTCCTTTTATTTTGCTCTGCGTTGACGGGGAGTTAGTTTGTGCTGAAGACTGCATGCAAGTGACAGCAGTGATGATGGCGATGATGATGAATGGCCGTGTGCTGCTGGTGTATGCTCTCTGCGTGCTGTGGTGCGGTGCGGCGGTAATGGAGTCGGTTGTCGATGATGTTGTCGATGGCGGAGTAAAGGAGGGTCCATTGGGAGATTCACAGTCTGATTCTAGAGACGAAAAAGCAGCAAAACCGGAATTATTTGAGTCAGTCGATGAGGGTGTAGGGTCCGCGGATCACTCGTTGGATACACGTTCAGGAACCAGCGTCAATGAGCAAGGGAACTTGGTCAAAGAACCACAAACAGGGAATGTTGGGAAGAAAGGGGTAGAAGGAGAAGGCCTCGGAACACAACGCAATGAAGTACATGAACAGCAAGTAGAAGAGGAAGTCAAAGAACTAACGGTGAAACAGAAATCTCAAACAAAGGATAAAGTAACAGTACCACAATCACTACCACCGACGCCAGCAGGCACAATAACATCCCCACCACCACCAACAGCATCAATGCAAGAATCACCGAGAACGCCAGGACAACCACAAGAAAACTCACAAAAATCAGCAGGGCAGCCACCAAAGCTACAAGTACAACCACCATCATCACCAGCAGCGTCCGCTGAAGGTGAAGCCGATGGCGGTCTTGTTGGTGCTAGTGACACTTCTCGTGTTACTGGTGATAAAAACAAAGATCCTAAAGAAAGTGAAGGTCGCGTTTCCGGGCCACCTTCCGGTGGTGCTTCTTCATCTCCCATTTCCAACAATGGAGATGCTTCACGGAATAATGGCGGTGCACCATCCACCCAGGACACGACATCTCTAAAAAACAATGAGCAGTCAGGGCCAACAACATCTTCAGGGAACGCACCACTCAACAGGGAGACACCGGAGAGGTCAACACCCGATGCACAACGGCACTCCTCTGATACACAAGAAAATGAAACGGGTCAAACTGCTGATGGGGATGCAGCTCACAGCGCCGCGGGGCAGAGTGCCATGGGGACGAAAGACTCTTCCGGCGTATCGACTACCGCCAGCAACGCACCAACAACACCTCAACCACAACTGCCAGCACCACCAGTACCACCAACGGCGACAGTAACGGGAGCACCGGCAGAAAAACCAACTGCAGAACGATTGCCACCACCGGCAGATTCAACACCAGGAGAAGGCCTAGCAGCAACAACTACAGCTCAAACGAATGATACGGCGACACCTGGCGACAGTGACGGCAGCACCACGGTCTCCCACACCACCTCCCCTCTTTTGCTTCTTCTTCTTGTTGCGTGTGCGGCTGCGGCTGCGGTGGTGGCCGCGTGAGAGTGAGGGAGAGAGAGCCGTGCACCGCCCACACACACACTCGTCCTTCTCTCACTCTCTGTGTGTGTCCCCTTGCATGGACTCTCGCCCTCACCTCACCCCACGAAGCACACACATAATGTGCCCATTGTATATATGCATGCACACCCATGCAGGCCCGTTGGTGCTCTCTTTTGCACGACACGCACCGCTGCCGTCCTGCCTGGCTGCATGGGCGGAGCACCGTAACTGTTTCTGTTTTGTTTCCATTGCATTGAGTGGGCGACCTCTCTCTCTCCCTGTGTGTGTTTTGCTTCACGGGAGCAATGAGAGTGTGTGTGCTGGTCGTCCCACGCTTCGGCTTTTTTCTTTTTTACTTGTTTTGTGGTTGAGTGCACCCATTCTGCCTTTTTGATTTGCGGCATGCTTTGACTGCATATGCCTGAATATTTGATTTTCTATTTTTATCTTATTTTTTCTTTTCCTTTGAGGTATTGTCAGTGTTTTTCCTATTCTTTTCAAACCATGGAGTGCCTTCCTTCACGTACTGCATGCGTCAGTTGTTCCACGTCACCCCACAGTCTGCAGTGCTGCTGGGGCTTCTGGTTGTGATGATGTTTGTGTTGTGTTGTTTTGGCGGGTGCTTTGCTGCCAGCCTGACGTACTCCTGCTTCTCGGACAAAGGGATGCGTGACGACAGGGCGAAGTCGATCCCGGCTGTGGTGAGGGACGTGCCTTTTGGATCTGAGGGTGCGTTGCAGACATGCACCGTCATTGGGAGGAATGGATGGGCGCCCACCCGCATCGATGTGTCGACAAGGGACATGGATGGTACCAGGAAGTATTGCAGCTCAGAGCGGTAGTACGCAATGGATTCATTGGTGACAATTGCGAGTGTGAAGGTGACGTTTTTCTATGCTGAGAAAAGGGAAATATTTGTTTCGTTATACTTTGCAGCCACTGTTCGTTAATGGCCTGCGGGCTGTCCGTGGCGATGTGGCCAGTTTTTCCTTCTTGAAAGGTGCTGTCGTGCGAGAGGGTGTGTTCCCAAATAGTCGGATGCTCAGTTGTCGAGGACGGGGGCATTTCCACAGCGTGTGCGGCAGACCTTCCCGTGGATTGTCGGGGCTCAGCGGCTGGTGGTGGTTGCAGCAGAGGACTGGCTGAAGGGCTACGGCTGTCATTGGAGCTTGCAGAGGTGCGTTGTCCGTTTTTTGCTCGTTGATACGCTTGACATTTTCGGTAGTGACCTGCGCGTGAGGCATTTGTTGGGAAGACCGTGGAGCTGTCGCAGAATCCACGTGTGAGGCCTTCTGCAACGATTGGCGTGCCAGGGTTAGTGCGTCGGGCGTGTGCCTTCATATTGTGGACGGACGAGAAGACGCTGCTGCAGCTTGGGCAGGGCGACGTCGATCTGCTGCTCGTCATTCTACGAGGAGATGCCGTGGACACGCCAGGTGGAGGTTCCGGCGGCGGTCGGGGCGGTCATGCCTCTTCAGTGTGAGGGAGGGCAGCACCACCGACATAAAGGGTTGCTTGTGACCTGCAGGGCGCGTGCCGGTATGCCGAGGAGTGGGCAGGAGGACGTCAATCAGCCGCTTGCTGGTCGGCAAGGAGTGGCGGTGCTCACGTCGGGAAGATGTTCCGGCGGAGGCAGAGCACAGACGCAGTCCCAATAGCACCGCAGCACAGCCGATCCCAGAGGGCAGGGACGTGGCGCCGCCATGCCTCGGGGTATCACAGGCCTGGGATCGAGAGGGCACCAAGCTGTTTCGCACGGACCACTGGCAGCATGGAGAAGCCACGGCGGAGGGCATGATTGCAGTCCTCCCGTTTGCGGAGCACTTCAGCTCGTGGCAGGCTGCCGCTGCAACACACTCGGCCTGCTCCATTCCGTCCGTACAGGTTCCTGTGGGACTGTCACGGCTGCCGCTCGTACGGTGCCTTGGTGCATCTCCAACCATGTGGTCACAGCGGACAGAGGTGTTCCACACGCCGAGGTGCAAGCATCACAGTCAGCTTCACGCAGGGAAATGGTGACATGTTTTCGTTGTGGCAGCATGCCTGCCTGTCGCGGGATGCCGTCCTCCGTCCCTGCAGTGTGGGATGACAGATGGTGGTCCGAGTCCATGTGAACGGGTGGACGTCCAGTGGGAGACACGAAGTACGCGTTGCGCAGTCACGTCTGGAAACGAGACGCTGCGGCCGCTGATCCGCGTTGCCTGTGCCAGGTTGTGGGACAGCCCAACCTCCATGCCGCTTGGGGTGGCGGCGAGGTCCTCTACTGCCGTCGTGGATGGTGAGCAACCGTCCCACAGCTCATGGTGTAGATTCAGGTCGCAAATCACCGCTGCATGGCCTACGCGACGAATGTTGCCCGCAAAGTGAGCAGCGTGAGCCATTGCCGTGGGAAGGCTGCAGAGGTTCACCGTGTAGATGCTGGGGCAGGCCGGTGGGCGCACGCGGAAGGCGGTCGCCTCCAGGCAGTTGGTGCCACGAGCGACAGGCGCTCGCACGGCAGGGTGTGGCGCACCAAAAAGGCCACGCCACCGGCACGCCCACTGCAGGCCTGGCGGAAGACACCGCAGCCAATGAGCCTCGTCGCTGGGGCACTCTCGTGCCCGCACTCCTGCAGAAGAACCATGCCGGGCTGGTGCTGCGCCAGTCGAGCAGCAAGGGCAATCCTGAAGGGCGAAGGGCCGGAAGTTCTGAGCTGCCAGACAACTACGAGGCCATCCTCATCGGGGCTGCGGCTTTTGCGCACACCACCGCAGCGGGTGATGCCGACGGAGTGACCGCAATGAAACGACTGTGCGGTTCTGTCAGTCGGGCTGCAGGCAAACCGCCTCGCCGCTCCACAACTGACAGTGCGCGGGACCTTCTCGAGGGGTGACGCCGTCGTGGTCCCCATCACGCTCGCAGCAATGCCCTGCCGCAATCACTCCCACAGAGAGACAAGAAAGAGTGTGTGGGTGTGTGCCGAGAACACAGCGACTGTCATTGCCAGAGAAGGGCATCGTGGCACCGTCCGTCACGCGCCAGCACACAAAGAGCAACGCTCGCACCCGGCAGAGAAAAAACAACGAGGAGAGGAGAATGTCCCCAAGAGCAGGCAGCACCTTCATGCATGGCGGGCATCGTGCAGCCACGCCATCATTTCAGCACGGGACGCAAGCCAACGTCCCTACCTTCGCCAAGGCACTACTGCAGAGCACTGCGCAAATACTTCCGTTTGTTTGCTGGAAGAGCAGAAAAGAAAAGGCGTCCATAGTGATTGCCCCCGAAAGCAAAAAAAAAAAAAACGAAGGGATGGGGGTGAGAAATTTAAAATGCACAAATTAATAACAAAAAAAGAGCACCAAAAAAATTTAAAGCAAATAGGAAAAAAATTAAAAAAATTACACAAAAAAAAAAAAAAGCAATAAAAAAAAAGCCGAAGCGTGGGACTACCAGCGCACACACTCTCATTGCTCCCGTAAAGCAAAACACACACACAGGGAGAGAGAGAGAGAGAGAGGTCGCCCACTCAATGCAATGAAAACAAAAACAGTTACGGTGCTCCGCCCATGCTGCCAGGCAGGACGGCAGCGGTGCGTGTGGTGCAAAAGAGAGCACCAACGGGACTGCATGGGTGTGCATGCATATATACAATGGGCACATTATGTGTGTGCTTCGTGGGGTGAGGTGAGGGCGAGAGTCCATGCAAGGGGACACACACAGAGAGTGGGTGAAAGACGAGTGTGTGTGCGGGCGGTGCACGGCTCTCTCTCCCTCACTCTCACGCGGCCACCACCGCAGCAGCAGCCGCACACGCAACAAGAAGAAGCAAAAGAGGGGAGGTGGTGTGGGAGACCGCGGTGCTGCCGTCACTGTTTTGTGTATTCGTCGTATCAGTTGTGTTGGCGGTGCTGATTGTTTTTGCTGTTTGTGGTCCTGTCTCACTGAGAGTTGGAACAACGTTGGTATTGCCAGTTTCAAGGCTGTCGTGTTGTCCTTCAGAGCTTTGAGCATCATCCTTATCTGCCTTATTCTGGACATGATCACCGCTGCCAATTGTAGAGGTAGATGAGGTTGTCGGTTCTGCTGGACTGCCGGTTGCTGCATTCTTCGTCGAATCCTCTGTGTCCGTGTCATGACTGTGCTGCCCTTGTGTAGCATCCCCTGAAGGCGGTTCCGGTGCTTCTAAGTCCTTTTTGGTTACTTTCTGTAAGTTTTCTTTTTCTGCTGTTGGGCCTCCTTCAACTGCTGTTGATGATGGTGCAGGTCCACCCGATGGCGGTAGTGGCGGTGGTGGCGGTGGTGGCGGTGGTGCGGATAATGATTGTGGTGCCCCCTCATTTTTGTGGCTCTCGTGTGTGTCGGTTAGTGCCTTAATGTTTTCTTCTTTTTCCTCTTCTGTTTCTTCCGCCGTTTCTTCTTCCCCATCACTTTCTTCATCTTCAGCTTCCTCTATACGTGGGGAAGATTCGGGTGACGCTTTAGAATCAATATCTTGTGGTCCAAATTCTAAGTTTTTGGTGTCTTGTGGAGGCATTCCAATTCCTTCGGATGCCGGCGGAGGTCCACCAGCACCACTCCCAGGAACTGCCGTCCCCTCCTCGTCACATCTACCGCCGGCACCGCACCACAGCACGCAGAGGGCACACACCAGCAGCACACGGCCAGTCATCATCATCGCCATCACTCCTGTCACTTGCGTGTAGCCTTCAGCACAAACTAACACCCCGTCAACGCAGAGTGAAAGGAAAAAGAAGAGACACGGCACAGTAAAAAACACCAGCAGCAGCAGCACGCATTTCATGAGAAATATTAAGCCTATAAAGGTCAAAAAACGCACAACGCCCTGTAATAATTTAACAAGAAAAACAAAAGAACAAGGAAAAACAACACAAAAGTAAAAAATCGGCAATGAGAAAAAAAGTAAAACACACAGGACAAAAAATGCACCCAAATGGCACCAGTGCGCATGCACCAGCACAAAAATGCATCTACGCAAACAGTTGTATGCGTGTCGTGCATATGAGTGTGTCCGGGATGTGTTCAACGTGACGGATAGAGGGAGCAGCAAAATGGAGCACACAGCAGGGCAGCGGAAGCAAATGAAGCAAAACACAATCATTATTTTCTCTTATTTGTTTGCATCGGACCACAGTGGACGCGCACAAATCCACTTGGTTGAGTGCTGGCACGCACAGCCCGCATACAATTCTTCAGCCCAAAGTGGTGTACGCCAGCGCGGATGCGGCGAGCAGCAGCGGGGCACACACCCACGCAGAGCTGCTGAGGCTGCCGTCGATTTCGCGCAGACGTGGCGGTGCGCGGGTGGTCGTGGTAGTTGGCGCCTCTGTATTCGTATCACTTGGAGCCTGTGTTGTAGTTGTCGTGGTGGTGGCTGGCGCCTCTGTAGTCGTGGTGGTCGTAGTTGGCGCAGTGATACTTGTTGCTGAATTATTTTCCAGTTCGTTTGGAGGAGTTGGTGACATTCCCGTAGTGGCCGTACTTGGTGCCGTAACGGTCCTCGAATCCGGTGACTCTGCGTCTCCGGGCTGTATTTGTAACATTCCGGCTCCGGTCACTGCATCTGGTTCCTGTGTCTTGCCGGTTTCCGAATCTGTGGACCCTTTCGTGCCGGACGTAGCACTTTCCCCGTTGGCGCAGGAGGGCTTGGGAGAGAGTTTTCACTTCCTCCTCCGCCAGCTACCTGATTTTGTCCCTGTGTTATATCGGAATTACTTTGTGACCCCGCCACACCGGAATTATCAGATTGCAGTTGCGTACTGCTCGGAGTTTGCACCCCTGGCTGAACCGGCGGTTGACCGGAAATATTAACATCTTTTTCACCATCCGCCGTCACGCACACGGACGGGCAGCAGCACAGGGCAAGCACCAACAGGGCGCACAGCAGACGGCACGTCATCATCATCGTGAGTGTGGTCGTTCAGTGGTGTGGAGCTGATCTGCACAGTGAGGGGCATGGAAAGCAACAGGGGAGACGAGAGGTGCGGCAGACACACACAGAGGGCACACCACATGAGGAGAGGGCAGCAGCCAGGCATGCACCGTACGCCGCACACCACGCACGACACACACTCCAATCCACGGCAGCAGGCACACACACACACAGCCCTGCCGCAACACCAACACACAGATGGAAGAGGGAGAAGCAAACAGGAGCGACGCACAAGGAGTGATAAAAGAGGAGAACACTACGGCTAGACATCAGACTGTAGGCTACCAGAGGGCCGAAAAAGGCAAGAGGGCCGCGCCGCGTCGGCAATCGGTGCGTCACTTGCCTGCAGACCAGGCGTCGTGCGCGATTGTTGTCGCTCATTGTGACACATTCGCCCTCGTAGCCCCAGAGGGTGGAACAGCCAACGCCAACCCAAACACCGCTTTCAACACGCCATTGCCACAATTGTGAAGAGCCGGCTGGCACCACACACGGCAAGAAGGACACACCAAGACACACCATGCACCAAAGGGGCGCATCAAGCCCGCAAACAGTGCGCACCGCTCCAACACCGCAGGGCCCTCCCGCACGCACGCAGCGTCCTCCTCCTTCCTTATCTTCGGCTCATTGCCGCCACATCCGACACCTGCACCTCACAATACCAGAGGGAAACACAAAACAGCTGAAGCAGCAACAACAAAACTGCCACCCTGTTGCGCTGACGCCACTGCACGAAAGGAAGCGCCGAAGACGGGAGTCCATCGCGCAGGAGACGGAAAAGAGCCCAACGAGACAGCCAAGAGCCACACGTTGGCAGTCTTGTCGGGGCTGCCTCAATGCAACCACAACAAATAGTGCCGCAACCACGGAGTCATGCACCCTGACCCACAGCGTGTTTTCACAATCAGAACAGCAGGGACAGAAGGAATTAAGGCACACTACCCACAGTGCAGCAGAGCACCCGAAATATACACACAGCCAATCAAAAACGGATGCAAAAAATCGGGAATGCAAAGAAATAAAAAGGGCGCATGCAGATTAAAAGCCAAAGCATATAAATTATTTGAGGTCCACATTCTCGCAATGACGCACACACACAAAAAAAAGCAAAGTCACAAAAACAAGCAAAAGTGTAAAAGATAAAGCCGCATGCACCAATTACGGAGGCAGAGGCAGTCGTCCCTGTCCTTCAGAGAAACAGCTACTGGTACGACCCCGCCTCCATTGGAGTACATTTCCTTTACTTTTTACTCATGATTAGAGTACGGTGGTTTCCCCTCGTCCCAATCGCATCAAAAACGCGTGTATACATGTGGTGCTGGGAACTGTCTTTTCTCTCCATGTTACTTCGTTCACACACAGTTTTCACGGAAGTTAAACCCTCCTAGCAATAAAACAAAAACACCTTTTCCCAGAATAACAAACAAGGCAATAAAAGACCGGTCATTTTGCCCATCACCCGCAAGCAAAGAAGGACATGGGGAATGCAGTGAGTGTATCATAGTGTTATTGCTACGGTTTTGCACATCTTGAGTGCGGGGTCAATGTGCCAAGTAAATACTGTCGCCCTGCCTCAGTTTGATTGCGCCCAGCCGCCGCGGCTGCTCAAAGAGGCACCACCACCACCGCCGCAGCGGCCACAACAAGAAGCACAAAGGGAATGAGGCCAGCAGTAGCAGCAGCCACACCGCCATCACTGTCGGCCTGCTGTACCAACGCATCGGGTATCGCCTGAAAATCGTCGCTGTTGACGGACGGAATCGGAGTGGCAGGCACGGAGGCACTGGGAATCACCGCTGGGCAATCCGCCCGCGGGTCGCCCTCCGCTCGTGCAACGTCCTCGCCGGGTGATGGCGCAAAAAAAAAAAAAAAGCGTCGGGGCCGGAGGCTCTGTTGGCTCCCTCGCTTCCACTGCCATATCTCCTCCCTCGCCGCTGAGTGTTGTCCCCACTTTCGGTCCGCACCCCCGGATCACCCCTCGGACCGGCATGAAGGCCACCACCAGCGACACCCGCAGCCGAAGCACCGGGAGGCTCCTTTTCAATGGAGGCACCAGACACCACAGGAGACAGCTGTGGACGAGTTTCCCCGGAGAAGGCGACCCTGAAGCAACCGCAGACTCTTCTGCTTCCTTCTCTTGCTCGTCACCCTGTCCACCCACCAACGCACTCGGAATGGCAAGACTGCTGCCGTTCGCGGCAATGGTGCACACCTCGCCGTAAGTGGGGCACTTGATCTTCCCATCTTTCTGAAAATATTTCAACGTCACTGGGATGTCAGTGCCCTCAGGGCAAGGCTGAAACCCACTGCTGCCGAGGTGCTTCACCCTCACTGTGCCCTCCTCACACGACACCTGCGCGCACACTCCCTTGACGCTTTTATGGCCATCACCGTCCTTCGTCTCCAGTAATTCCGCGTCCAGGCACCACGAGCCACCGCCAGTCAGCGACCCACGGAGATAATCCACATTTTCGTCCGAGCACGTCCTGTACGTTGTCCCAGACGATATTTCTTGAAATTCGGAAGATACGACAGGGCAAATATCCTTATCCACCAGACTCTCCTTGTCCTCAACGATGCTTGCGGTGCACGTCCCAACGTGACGGCGGTAGAAGGTGCAGCGAAGCGTCTCTGTGTCTTTAGCATCGCAAAACATGTGAGGATACTTGGCGGCAAGATTATCGGTTGTATTGCACTTCTTCTCCAGGAAGTCGCAGCCACTGCGGCTGCCCCAGCTCATCGGCTCCGCCATCCAATTCACGCGGTAGTATCCCATATCCGCGAAAACCGCCATCGTCAGAGCCGTGTAGTAGCCGGCACCAACTGTGGGAGCCATCAGCTCGTCCCGCGCGTGGCGTCCCCTCCAGTGAGGGATCGCTTTTTCCGGAGGGCCATCTTCGTCCTCCAGCACCATGCCCTCGAGAGTCACAACCAAAGTGCGCTTTCTTCTTCTCCTGAACGTGCTTCCCTGCCACCATCCTGCGGTGCGTCCCACGTACACTTCTCTCTCGCTTCTTCACCAGACTCTTTTCTCTCATGCTCTCCTGGATGAACCCAAGTGCATGCGCAATTTCGTGTGCGGCAACGCGAACGCTCCACGCCGTGTCAGTCATGCACTTCGGATCAAATTTCATGGCGCCAATGTAGGGGCGAAGATCACTCAGTGTGTTACACGTGGCCGCCCACACAGCCCTGCTATCTGTGCCTGATGGCCTAGCAGCAGCGTAGATGATAAAATCTGCATTCGGCACACCGTCACTCTTGTGCCTGGTAGGAACCGTAAAGTGGCTGCACGGTCCATTCATAGCCCTCGGTACAGTTATCGTCCCACCAGTGGGTTTCACAAGGAGTCGCTCAGTGTGCAGTTTGACGGCACCGAAGAGAATTCTTCCAGTGTACAATTGTGTCTTTGCCTCCGTCAGGAAATGCTCTGCTTTGCATGACACCTTTTGCCCCAACGCATTGTAGCACTCATCCTCTCCCTCTTCTTAGTAATTCTTCCTCTTGTTCGTGCCTCTCTCCAGATATTCCATGGGAACCGCCATGCGGATCGGCTCCCAGCCACTGTCGTCATCCTTTGCGGCGACGGTGTACGCCTGCATCTCGCCCTGTCCATTGCGCGGCACCTCACGCACCACCGCAGACGACAGCGGGTCGCTCCTCCTCATCACCATGTCAAACCCACAGCGGTACTGTGTGGCGGATGCAGCAGCAATACACCCACTGGCGCATCACATCAGCAGCAACACCGCCAGTGGGAAAAGCGGTGTGGCGCGGCGTGGCTGGCGCATGACTTGAGTAAATTGCATTTCTTGGTTTCGTGTGAGTAGCAGCAGCAGTGGCGCAGCCTGGATGCGGGAGGAGAGAAAAAAAGAAAAAAGAAGAGTAAGAAAAACAAAATGGCTTTGGACCAGTAATGCGTCAGAATGCGGCCCACGCAGCGGAGTAACAGGAGACCACAGAGGCGGCCATACACACAGCATGCGCACCGACTCCATCAAATAGACGAACCGTCAATCCGTTGTCGAGAGAACGTCCATCACCGTCGCACAGAGTCATCACCAGCCGCACCGCTCCCTCCACGCGAGGTGTTTGGTCTGCTCACCTCGTGGTGTCGCAATATTTGTGTGACCATCCACTCAACATCCGCCAACGGCACAGCACCAGTCCCAGGTGCAGGAGCATCGCACAGCGCGCTCTCCCAGCAGCTCATACCCTGTTGCATAACCGCACGGCAACCCCAATTGTGATGCGCAGCCCTGAGGCGGAGATGCAAAGAGTCATGCGGAAGAACCTCCTTTCACTGCTCTCCTTTCGGGGAACTCGACAACAAGCGTGCCGGCGGTGCGATCATTATGACAGTTCCATCCGCACTGCCACTGGCCAAGGAAGTTACTGTGAGCTCGCCGCGTAGAGGTCACCGTGTCCGCCGTTGCTCTCCCGCCGCCCCACGACCACGCCGGCACTTCCAACAGAGCGGATCGGAGCGTCGACAACGGCAGCCACAGGCGCCAACACGCCGAGTCCAATGGTGCCCGCTGCGACATTCCAAAGCGCGCCGAGAGCTCCTCTAGCAGTGCAGGGGCAGCTCACGTGTGTGCAACATGGCGTGTGTGCATTTGCTTGTGCTTGTGTGTTTGTCAGCGCCTATACTTGCAGAGCAGCTGTGCGGCACAAGAAAGTCCAAACAAAGCAACGGCAGAAAGGGAAAGAGATGGCATACACGCAAATTACTCATATCGTCACACACACACACACAAACACACACACACAGCCCGCGGAATGCGTGCACTCAACCACAACACAAGTAAAACAATAGAAAAAAACAAGCGTGGGACGACCAGCGCACACACTCTCATTGCTCCCGTAAAGCAAAACACACACACACAGGGAGAGAGAGAGAGAGGTCGCCCACACATTGCAATGGAAACAAAACAAAAAGAGTTACGGTGCTCCGCCCATGCAGCCAGGCAGGACGGCAGCGGTGCGTGTGGTGCAAAAGAGAGCACCAACGGGCCTGCATGGGTGTGCATGCATATATACAATGGGCACATTATGTGTGTGCCTCGTGGGGTGAGGTGAGGGCGAGAGTCCATGCAAGGGGACACACACACAGAGAGTGGGTGAAGGACGAGTGTGTGTGCGGGCGGTGCACGGCTCTCTCTCCCTCACTCTCACGCGGCCACCACCGCAGCCGCAGCCGCACACGCAACAAAAAGAAGAAGCAAAAGAGGGGAGGTGGTGTGGGGGACCGCGGTGCTGCCGTCACTGTCGCCAGTCGCCGCCGTTGTGGTTTTTATTACGGTGGCTGCGACTGGTGTTTCCTTCGGATTGACTTCTTTATTTTCATTTTGTTTTTCTTCTTGCGTCACTGCACCATCAGCTGCCGGATCTTTGTCGCCAGTTGTTTGAGTGCTTTGGGGTTTTGTTTTATTCGATGCTTCCTCCACACGAGAAGATAAAATTGGCTCTTCCTGACCGCCTGCCGAAATCCTCTTTGTAGTGCTGGTATCATCTTTTTCTTGCTTTTTTTCTTCCTCCGTCTCTTCCTTTTCCCCTTCATCTTCTTCATCCGCATCCTGATTCGCCTTCTCATTTTCCCCGTTTTCCATTTTTTTATTTTTTTCTATCGTTTCTTCTGCCGTTCCTGATGCCTTTGCTCCGGTTTGTAGTTCCGATTCCTCTTCCGTTCCTGATACGGGCACCGATGCTGCTGCTTGTGACGCTGCCTGTTGACCGGTTTGGTCAACTTCTCCAACGCCACCAACGACGGTCTTTTCGTCTTTTTCAGTGTTCTTGTCGGACGGAGTATCCGGAGAAGCTGGAGCTGCTTCAGAACATCCACCAGCGCCGGCACCGCACCACAGCACGCAGAGGGCACATAGCAACAGCAGGCGGCCAGTCATCATCATCATCACGGCTGCACACACAGTCTAGAGAGGGGCAAAGAGAGAAGGATGAGAAGAACACACAGACGCATCAGCAGCATGGAGAAGGAGTGGTGATTACATGAGGGCTGTTGTCATGACCATGGGAGACGCGTGCACGCAGGAATAACAGGCTACAATGAAACACCGGACAGCACGGCGCACAACTCCATGGCATTTAAAGCCCACACGCAGCTGCCCCTAATGGAAAGGAAAGAGGACGCCACGGTGCGGCAGGAACACAGAGATGACGGCGCAGAAAAGGATGCCAAGCCGGCGTGAAAAAAAAGCGAAAACAAATGTCTTCCCCCACAGCGGCCACATCCAACACGCAAATAATAATAATAATAAACACCACACACGGCAACTCACAGGGCAGTGAATACCCTGTCGCCAACCTTCATGGATGCTCGCCCCCGAATTCCTCGGGAGTCCATCGCCCCGCCGCCTTCCTCCTTCCCGCGGCACCCTCGCACGAACAGCCTCGGCACAAAATCGGGTCCATCCGCATCCGTCGCCACGCCACCCTCAACGACCCAACAGGCAACCGCCCAACGACTGTTGCGGAAATCATACACCCGCAACAAAGCACGCGACGCAACATCATGTCACGCGGACCCCTCCGTCGGCGGCACTTCACGTCAACCGTTTGGCCGGCATACAGAACAATCAGTTGACATAACAGAGAAGTAAGGCAGGTACTCAATCAAGGAATCTCCAAACAAACACACACACGGCTCTTTTGATGCCAATGCAGCTGCCACGGGCACGGTATCCGAGCGGAAAATGACAAGCAGTAAAAAAAGCCTCGCAAAATGAAACCAATCCACACGTCCATATGCAAAGCGCCACTCAGGCTGCTGCGGCTGCAGGGTCCGTGGACAAAAATGCGCCTTACCGAATCCCGCCAACTATGTCAGTCTCCCCTCCCACCAATGCCACGCATACTGCACGGTGTGCGTCCACAGGCATCCACTCCCGGTGCCCTAGCAACACTTCAGAAACGAACGCAACAGGAGTAATACAACGAACACCACACTATGCCACCGCAACAGCAAGCACACCACAGGACAGCAACACGCCATGCACCGATGTTTTGCTATTCCACACAATTCATTTACCGCACACTCCAAAACACACATAATGGGAGAAGCGAAGCATCATTACACAATGCCGAAGCAGATAAATAAAAATAAAAAATCAAAACCACACAAATCCCTCGCACAAGAACACGCACCCAATGTATTCTCCAGAAAAAGTCGAACAAATTGTTATCCCAAAACCCATTAAAAAACGCGTGGTGCCGCCACATTAGCAACCAACACAAAAGAGAAAGAGTGTATACAACTGTTCACCGGTAAAAATTATACAGACAAGCAGAGCACATAAACGTATATACTGATAGGAAATGCCAATTGATATGGGCTTTTCTCTCTTACAACCACTGCTGAGTGCGGGCCACGCAGGACTCAACCGCAGTCGCCTCGTCGTGCAGAGGCATCCATGCAGCCACCCAATAGAGTGTTGGCACGGCGGCGGCAGCAGACAGGGACAAGCAGCAGCAGCAGTGTTATTGCCGTGGAGCGAAGGCTAGGCGTACTTCATGTCTTCCTCCCAATCCCCGCGCCCCACCGCCGCATCATCCTCCCTCGGCGGAGGGTCCACGGCGCCCTGCGCGTCATCAGCGGCATCAGGAATCCTGAGTCCCGTGGCTGCGGCGCCGCCACCGGCCTTGTTGCTCACGGCCTCATCTCCTACTGATTGTCCCACAACAGACGTCACACCATCGGCGGTCACATCGTCGTTGTCCGGATGACCGCTCTTCTTCTCCGCCTCCTGCGGCGCACCCGCGGTGTCGCTGGGCAAGAGCACTCCGTTGCCCGTCGTGGCACCTGGGGCGACTTCCTTCTCCTCTGGCGACGGATGCTTCTGAGGAGCAGCCGTGTCTACGTCCTTCGGTGGTGTGCCGCGGTCGGTCTCAATGCTCTCCGCAACGGGGACGGACGCCCGTGGCAATCCTTGTTCAGTGGATGCCGGTGAGACCGTCCTGCTCCACACGCCCTCTCCTCGCCGTCCCACGGAACCACTGGAAGTAGGAAGTAGGCTGCCGCTGGTGACAGATATCGTGCACACCTGCGCGTGGTCACGGCAAATGACGTTTCCCTCATCGTAAGGTGGAGTGACCCACGCAATCGTCGCCCCGTCCGTGCATGGGACCAACGGATGTTACCCTTTTCAATCACTTCCAGATGCACTTACATGCCGAGGCACCTTAATGCCGCATGCGCTGCAGCACTGAGATGCGTCTCCTCCGTGTCCCTTGCATCCGTCGTGTTGTTGGGAAGCGTGTCCAGACACCAAGAAGAGGGCTCATCCCCAGGCATCGCAGACAAATATTCTCCTCTCCAAATAACAGCCTCAATATTCCTCACATTCAGTGCGGGATCAATGATGGGGCAACGGCCCATCGGGCGTTTGGCTGAGCTTTCATGGATACTCCGTCTACACAGCGACCGCTAGAATAACAAACCGACGCGCAGTGTCTGGCAGGAACGCCCGCTTCGCAGAGTATGTGGGAATATTCACTCATGTTCGGTGCGGAGCGCTTCCTCTGCAGTCGCCGGCGCCCCCAATCGCTGCCATCCACTCATCCCTCGCGTGGCGCTGCGACCAGTGCGACTCCAGCGTCCTCCCGTCCCCATCGCCATCCTGCAGCTCCACGCCATCAATGTCGTCGCAGTCGTGGTGCTCCCTTGCAGACATCGCGGCATTCGTCGAGTGCACCACCACCGACAGCGCCCCGCCACCCACACCAATAGCATTCCTCACCATGCTCCGGCTTGCCATGTGCGGGTGGGTGAACCGACAGCATGGGCCATCAGGTGCGCGGCGATGCGGGTGGCGATGCGTCCGCAAAATAAAACGCCGGGAAAAGTACATGGCGCCAGTGACTGGACGGCCATCCTCCAGCGTGGCGCACGGCAGTGCCTACACGCCACCAAGCGCTGCAGCCACGTGCAGCACTGTGTCAGAATCGGCAACACCAGTGGAACAATGCCCAGCAGGCGCCGTGAACCAACTGCAAACGCTGCCCGTGGCAAGTGGGGGCACAATCAACGGACCCTCCAGTGGCCGGACGAGCAAACGATCCACATTCAGTTACACAGCAGCAGGGATAGCCTCCTCGTCAAGGATGTTGCCGTGCGCAAAGAATAGAACACTATCCTCACAGTCAAACGCGCCGTCCAAAGAATTTACTGTGCAACGCCAAAAGAATCCGCGGTGCTTCCTGCTGTCGTCCGAGTCCCTTGTTGACACATTGATGCGGACTGCCACTCGTCGGTCCTTCCCAAAGCCGCTGTCCACCCGCGACGCATCCTGCGCTCTGAGAGGCATGTCCCTCACCATCAGGAGAATCAACCACGCGCCGTCAGACGTATCGCAGCGTCAAAAGAAAAAGGATACGTCAAGGTGAAACAAAAGCACCAACTGGCAAATCACACCACAAACATCATCACAAGCAGAAGAAGCAGCGCTGCTGGCCGCGGGGAACGTGGATAAAATGGCGCATGGCACACGCGGAAAGAAACACTGAGTGGCTTGGCAAGATTACGAGAGGTTGACACCTTCCCCAGCAACAAGAAAAACAATATGGGAATAACAAGGGAGGATTAAAGTGATTGCAGTCAAAACATGCAGCCGATCAAAAAGGCGCAATGGATGTGCTCAACCACAACACAAGTAAAACAATAAAAAACAAAACGTAGCGTGGGACGACCAGCGCACACACTCACATTGCTCCCGTAAAGCAAAACACACACACAGGGAGAGAGAGAGAGAGGGGTCGCCCACTCAATGCAATAAAAACAAAAACACTTACGGTGCTCCGCCCATGCAGCCAGGCAGGACGGCAGCGGTGCGTGTCGTGCAAAAGAGAGCACCAACGGGCATGCATGGGTGTGCATGCATATATACAATGGGCACATTATGTGTGTGCCTCGTGGGGTGAGGCGAGGGCGAGAGTCCATGCAAGGGGACACACACAGAGAGAGAGAAGGACGAGTGTGTGTGCGGGCGGTGCACGGCTCTCTCTCCCTCACTCTCACGCGGCCACCACCGCAGCAGCAGCCGCACACGCAACAAGAAGAAGCAAAAGAGGGGAGGTGGTGTGTAAGACCGCGGTGATGCCGTCACTGTCGCCAGGTGTCGCCGTATCATTCGTTTGAGCTGTAGTTTTTGCTGCTAGGCTTTCTTTTGGTGTTGAATCTGCCGGTGGTGGCAATCGTTCTGCAGTTGGTTTTTCTGCCGGTGCTCCCGTTACTGTCGCTGTTGTTGGCACTGGTGGTGCTGGCAGTTGTGGTTGAGGTGTTGTTGGTGCGTTGCTGGCGGTAGTCGATACGCCGGAAGAGCCTTTCGTCCCCATGGCACTCTGCCCCGCGGCGCTGTGAGCTGCATCCCCATCAGCAGTTTGACCCGTTTCATTTTCTTGTGTATCAGAGGAGTGCCGTTGTGCATCGGGTGTTGATCTCTCCGGTGTCTCCCTGTTGAGCGCTGCATGTCTTGAAGATGTTGTTGGCCCTGACTGCTCATTGTTTTTTAGAGATGTTGTGCCCCGGGTGGATGGTGCACCGCCATTCTTCCGTGAAGCATCTCCATCGTTGGAAATGGGAGATGAAGAAGCACCACCGGAAGGTGGCCCGGAAATGCGACCTTCACTTCCTTTAGGATCTTTTTTTTTATCACGAGTACCACGAGAACCGTCACTAGCACCAACAAGACTGCCATCACTAACATTTCGATCGGTACCTTCAATCCCAACGGGACCACCATCGCCTTCATCGACACCGGATGCTTGTGATGGTGATGTTGCTTGTGGTTCTTCTCCTGCTGGCGTCGGTGGTGGTGATGTTTGTGGTAGTGTTACTTTATCCTTTGTTCGAGATATGTGTGTTACCGGTAATTCTTTACCTTCTCCTTCTACCCCTTTCTTCCCAACATTCTCTGTTGGTGGTTCGTTGACCAAGTTCCCTTGCTCATTGACGTTATTTCCTGATCGTGTATCCAACGAGTGATCCGCGGACCCTAAGTTTTCATCGGCTGACTTCGATAATTCCGGTTTTGCTGCTTTTTCGTCTCTAGAACCAGACTGTGAATCTCCCAATAGACCCTCCTTTACTCCGCCATCGACAACACCATCGACAACCGACTCCACCACCGCAGCACCGCACCACAGCACGCAGAGAGCATACACCAGCAGCACACGGCCATTCATCATCATCGCCATCACTCCTGTCACTTGCGTGCAGTCTTCAGCACAAAATAACTTCCCGTCAACGCAAAGCGAAAGCAAAAAGAAAAGACAATTCACACAGCCACCGCACAGTGACAAATGATGGCAGCCCATCAGAAGTAGCACACACCATGAGGCAGTTGGAATCAGTGGGAGGGAAAACGCAAAATACACACAACCCGCAGTAATTAATCAGCAAAAACAAAAAAATTAAATAAAAAAATTAAACAAAACACGAGTAAAAAAGCAAAAAAACAAAACTAGAAACACAAAAAAAAGGAAGCTGCACAGTATGGCTCCAGTGTGCATACACCGGCACCCAAAAATGCGTTCACGCAAACAGTTGTATACCTGTTTTGCACATGAGTGTGTCTCCGGATTGCGTTCAACGTGACGGATACAGGTAGGAACAACATGGAGCACACAGCAGGGCAGCGGAAGCAAATAAAGCAAAACACAATCATTATTTTCTCTTATTTATTTACATCGCACCACAGTGGACGCACACAAATCCCTGTGGTTGAGTGCTGGCACGCACAGCCCGCATACACCTCTTCAGCCCAGAGTGGTGTACGCCAGCGCGGATACGGCGAGCAGCAGCGGGGCACACACCCACGCAGAGCTGCTGAGGCTGCCGTCGATTTCGCGAAGACGTGACGGTACGCGGGTGGTCGTCGTGGTTGGCGCCTCTGCAGTCGTAATACTTGGTGCCTGTGTTGTAGTGGTTGTCGTGGTCGTCGTGGTCGTCGTGGTTGGTGCATATGTTTTCTTATTTTGTTTATTTGACATATTGGCCTTATCAATGACTGCATCTTCAGTAGTGGGTTTCCCATCATCTTGATCCTGTGTATTATTGGAAGTATTTGGTGGCTGTGGTGTTTCGGTTACTGTACTCGTTGTAAGTGACGCAAGAGTCTCCATGTTTTGTGAATCCTCCGTCCCTCTCCTTTCTTCGTTTTTCTCTGGTGGAGAAGGAGTTGTACTTGGCGGATCCGTTACCTGACCTGGTTCCCCTTCCTCGTCATCCTTTAAAACGGTTTTTTGTTCAGTTATATCTTCACTCCCTGTCGCGCACACGGACGGGCAGCAGCACAGGACGAGCAGCAACAGGGCGCACAGCAGACGGCACGTCATCATCGTGAGTGTGGTCGTTCAGTGGTGTGAAGCTGATCTGCACAGTGAGGGACATGGAGAGCAACAGGGAGACGAGAGGTGCGGCAGACACACACAGAGGGCACACCACATGAGGAGAGGGCAGCAGCCAGGCATGCACCGTACGCCGCACACCACGCACGACACACACTCCAATCCACGGCAGCAGGCACACACACACACAGCCCTGCCGCAACACCAACACACAGATGGAAGAGGGAGAAGCAAACAGGAGCGGCACACAAGGCTCCACCGCATGCACACACGGCGAGAGCGGTCCGTCGTGTCTGCACCCCTCACGGAGTGTACGCACACACAAAAGAAGAAAGGTGCAGCGCACACAGCAACACAAAAGCAAAGTAACAATAAAAAAAAAGATCGCCGCACACCACGTGGATTGTTGGTCCACGGGAAGTGCAGCCAATATTCACTACAAAAACAATTCAGTTGCCTTTAGCCCTCGTTCATATTCAGCGCACACCAATTCATGCAGGCCTGGGAGCCACCGCAGCCGCAGCAGCAGCACACGCAAAAAAATAGGCACAAGGAATGGAATAATGCAAGCAACCATTTATTTGTGTTTCTGTTTGGATGTTGGCAGATGCCTGCATACTTTTTTTCTTTGTCTTGCGGAGGGTACACCTTCATGCCTGGGTCGTGCGTTGGGGATTTCTGCAGGGTGCACAATTATTATGTTTTCTCCTCTTTTAAATGTTTCTTGTGTTGGTGCAGCCAATAATTCGGTTTGTGTTTTTCCTGCCCTTCGCTGGTAAAGTGATGCAATAGATGTTTGTTTTTCCTTTCGTCGCTTTGGCACCTGATTCCTCACCGTTTATTGCGGTGGAAATGAAAATATGTGAGTGAACTCCCACACACCAGAACGCACCTTCGCTCCTATTTATTGGTGCATGGAGGGACATGTGTGTTTGGTGGTGTCTCGGCCATATATATTTTGTGGGTGTACATTCCCCTGCAGGCTGAGGGCGGGATGACGCTCCGTCGCGGTGCACTTCCCTCGCATGCCGCCCACTGTGATTCATCATGCATCACCCCCTCACATACTCCGTGGTGCCACACCGCTGATATTATTGCAGCCGCTGTGATTCCGCGTACTTCACGCATTTGATTGTGCCACAATACATCCGCTCGTGTGGCCGCCGCATCCAAACAGCGGTGCCCAACACCGTGAGCGGCAGTCCACATCCCTGCATGTCCCAACGCAGTGGTGTTTGACTGTCAGCCAGGCGTCAGACAACAAGAGAGTCTTGTGCTGGCAGTACAACACACGGAGCTGCAGTGAATGACTCGGGCGGGGACGCATCTATTCGTCGCAAAGCAGTGAAAAGGAGTCGGGCAAAATAATGCCGGCTGCATTCACGACACCATATCCACAGCCAAAGCATGCGACGTGATGTGTGCTTCACTGGTGCTGTGAAATGCCTGCAGACGACGTCACTAGTGGAGGCATGCCACCCACGATCAGCGGACAGACAATAATCGGCATGGGAGGCCACAAGAGGCAGCAACGACGCCAGCAGCAGGAGCAGCTCTCTCTCTCTCTCTCTCTGTTGCCTCCGAGAAGTAAATATTCCACCAGCCACAGCTGACTGTGCCATCGTGACACTCCATGCGCGTCGTGGCTGCGTCAACACATCCTGTTCCCTGCTGCGCCTCAAAAGATGCCTCACTCCGTCCACTAAGTGCATCGGTGTGGGCCGTGCCTCGGCTGTTCGTGAGGACCACAACGATGTGAGGGTCACCGAGTCGCAGCATGTTTGTTGTGACGTTGTTGCATGGCACCCGCACACACACACACGCAGCGCCTGCATCTCTCCCTTTTGTGTCCGCCCTCTGCCGGAGTGGTCACACACACGGGCAGCAGCAAAATCACTTCACCCTCGACGATCCAAAATCAACACCGACATCCCACGCGACGCAAAGATCTCAGTTGCCAGCACGGGCTTCCTGCCGCTCTGCCATCGACGCTGAAACACGGCACAGTGCACGCACTTATTTTCCTCGTGTGCAGTCAGCCGTTTGCTTCACACATTCTTCGATGGGCTGACGTCCACAAAAGCACGCCACAAAAGGCCACTGTGATCGCACACGCTCTTGCGATGAGCGTCGGTGTGTGCATGGATCCGCTGCTCACACGTGCTGGCAGGCAGCCTGCAGTCGGTGCCCTCGTGCCAGTTCGTCGGCTCCAGCACGGAAAAGAGAAAACGGCCTATTCCCGATGCACTTATTCCCACCAGCAGCACCAACACGCTGGTCGCCAGCCGTCATTCCTCAGCACATCCAGGAATGCTGAAAAGTGACGTGGAGCTGTCAGCCAGCAATGCCACAATCCCCGCACACATGTCGGCTCCACCAGAGAAGACACACAAATCACAAACAACACCCTTCACATGTCATCCGAACATCATTCCGACACACCGCGACACGCCAAACAGAAGTATTCGTCACCCCAATGCACCTCCCCACACAATCACATAGTCCATGCACCACGCACGGCAGCAGCTCACACGCGGTCAAACAAATGTTCTTCGGATCAGTGTTATCCACGTGCTGCGGTGGGAAGTAAACAAAAGAGACGAACGGCAAAACCCCAAAAGAGTGCCACGACTGGCCGCAAGTCAACGGAACGCAGCCACTCGAATGAATTCAGTCCTCATGCCCTCAACCTCCCACCCTCCCCACAAAAGACCCAATAACCGCAAATCAAATACCCTCTCCATTAAACTTGCTGTAAAACACCAGATAAAGCCGCAGTGCCTTATGCTGTAATCCGGGGTCGTTGTCGCCTTCACGGAGACAGGCGCACATCTGTTATTCACAACGACGCTGAACACCTGCAATGGCTTCTTCAAAACGCAATCCTCCTTCCGAATCAGAAAACGCCAATGCACCATCGGCCCGTACCAAAACTTAAAAAACAGCAAAATTCCTCACACAAAAACCAAAGTAGACCGCACCACTCTGCCATCGGCCGCGGCTGGGCGCAGGAGCTGGTGCGTCCCAGCACACCATGCAGTCCTTTCTGGTCGGCTGCGTCCACAGTGTGTTTTGCACCACGGTGTCGAGGCGACTGCGCCGTGTCCGGCCCCCACTCACCTCCACAGCCTGGAAGTGCGACATCGCTCGGCCAACGCGCATCAGCGAAGGATGCTTCTGTCCGCCTGTAAGCCAATTAAGCACCGCTGCGGAGGATCGTTGGGTTCCGCGCACCCACACAGCACGAACGGCTCACAATTCTCCGAGATATTGAGGACGTGCGTGGCGTGATCTGCTTGGAAACACAGTTTAGTCAATACTTGGGAGGGCGGCGACGACCATTCTGCTGCCAGGAGATGCCGTCCTCAAGGAACCGCGACGCTTCTGCAGCCACATGGGGATCTCCCAGACCACATTTGCGCCCCTCATGCTGAGCAGCGAATTGTTGCCCGGGACGCTGTGAGCCGCAACGGGGTGGGCGTCTTCCAGCCACGGCACGCCAAGGACGCCCCGGACGGTGTCAGACGATCGGCCGTTGAAGCGGCCTGCGCCTCTCTGGGGTCGTATGACGCAGGCCGCTGGACGGACGGCTCGTCGTCTCTCGCTGAGCATGCGTCTGGATCCGCTGCGCTGCCACTTGACTCCCCGGACAGCGGAGCTCCCTGTGGGGCCTCACCGCGCAGCTGCCGGCAGCCTTGCATGCACCTGCCGAGCGGAGTGTCCTGCCACTGAGCATGGCCACAGACAGTTTTCAGTTCCCCGCCTGGCAGCACCCAAATCGCCCACACGAGTTCCTGTCGCCACAGACTCCCTCTCGGCGATGGAGTCGCTCCGCCTTTGCCCGCTGGCGGTGCACGACGACGTCACCGAGGAGAGTTGCACCGTACCGCTTTCACTGGCGGATCGAGGTCGCACTGTTGGCTCCACATTTTCCTCATGACACTGCGGAATCCCACGCAACGTGACAGCGGACGCTGACGCCGTCATGGCACGATCCCTCCCGCAGGACTGCGTCAATGCCTGGCACGTGGGCTTCCTCGCTGCAGTGAAGCGACGGAACTGAGAGGAAGTGCAGGAGGAAAAGGAAGGCGCGCACACACCGCATGACAGGCGCTTGTCGGTGTGGCGAGGACTCTGTTCCTGGTGTCAACACGGGCATCGTGCCCCGAGTGGCGGGACCGCGCACAGGCGCGATGCGACACCTGCCCACTCTTCGACAGGCCCGCACGCGCCCTGCATATCACAAGTAACCCTCTGTGTCGGTGGCGCCGTCCTTTCTTCACTGAAGAGGTCGGCCCGCCACTGCCTCCGCCGTGCCCTCTTCCAGACGTAAGCGCCGCAACCCCTTTCCGACCAGCGAGCGGCGGATTGAAGTCGTCCTGCCCAATCTGCGGCAGAGCGCGCTCGTTTGTCCGCAATATTACGGCACACGCCGGAAGTGCTCGGCCTGACGTTCCGATAGTGGGAGAGGGCCTCAACTTTGCATGCCGCAATGGCTCCACCGTCTTCTTAACAGGCGCCTCGCGCGCAGTTCGCTTCCGAAAGATCCAAGCACGCCAGCAGGAAAGACACGCAGGAAGCACAAACGCGGGCATTCGAGATGGACCAGGCCCTTCCGCCACCGCCTCATCACGGACGCCACGTGCTGCTGATCCCCGACGGACCACGGGAGACTCCGCTTCATCCACTGTGGTAATGCCCCGTCGTTGGGAATATGGACTGCGACTGTTTGGGACTGCCTCAGCCTGCAAAACGGCCTGTTTGCGGCGGAATAATTGACACTTTATTGCGGAAGGCCCTTGCGCTACTCACCTGTTGCCGGCACAACACGCAAAGAAGAGTAAACATAATGTAAGTTGTTTACATGATGAATATTGGCTGCACTTCCCGTGGACCAACAATCCACATGGTGTGCGGGGATCACCTTTTTTATTGTTATTTTGCTTTTGTGTTGCTGCGTGTGCGCTGCACCTATTCTTTTGTATGTGCATACCCTCCGTGAGGGGTGCCGACACGACGGAACGCTCTCGCCGTATGTGCATGCGCAGAGGAACCTTGGATGCGTTCTTTTTTAATTTTTGCTTTTTTACTTTGTAGAACTTCTGGTTTGCAGGGCGGCGTTCGAGATTTGCAATTGTACTGATTCCATCTGTCTCATTTTTGTGTGCGTTGCTGTTATTTTTTACTGTGCGTGACTCTCATTCCTGGATGGAACAGTGTGCGCGGCTGTGTGACTTGTCTCTCCTTTACCTTTTGCTCTGCGTTGACGGGGAGTTAGTTTGTGCTGAAGGCTGCACGCAACTGACAGGAGTGATGGCGATGATGATGACTGGCCGTGTGCTGCTGGTGTGTGCCCTCTGCGTGCTGTGGTGCGGTACTTCTGGAGCTGCTGCTGATGGAGATGTTGTTGTTTCTGGTGGGGACGACAACAGTCTGAAAGAATTATTTATTCCAGTTGCGAGATTGCAGGAAAGACAAGAACAAAGAGCAGCAGGAGCAACAGCTGACGCAAAGGCAGCAGCAGAAGCAGCAGAAACAGCGGTCGCAAAAGCAACAGTAGCAAAAGCAGCAGCAGAAGCAGCAGCAGCAGAAGCAGTAAAGGTGGCAGCAGAAGCAGCAAAGGCAGCAGCAGCGACACAAGAAGCAGCAACAGCAGCAACAGCAGCAGCAGAAGCAGCAACAGCAGCAAAAGCAGCAGCAGAAGCAGCAACAGCAGCAGAAGCAGTAGCAGAAGCAGCAGAAGAAGCAAAAGCAGCAGCAGAAGAAGCAAAAGCAGCAGCAGAAAAAGCAAAAGCAGCAGCAGAAAAAGCAAAAGAAGAAGCAGAAAAAGCAACAGAAGAAGAAAAAGCAAAAGCAGCAACAGCAAAAGCAGCAGCAGAGGCAGCAGCAGCAAAAGCAGCAGAAGCAGCAGCAGAAGCAGCAAAAGCAACAGCAGCAGCTGAAAAAGCAGCAGAAACAGCAGCCGCTGAAGCAGTGGCGGCAGAAGCAGCTGCTTTTGCAGCTGCAGAAGCAGCAGAAGCAAAAGCAAAAGAAGCAGCAGAAAAAGCAAAAGAAGAAGCAGAAAAAGCAACAGAAGAAGAAAAAGCAAAAGCAGCAACAGCAAAAACAGCAGCAGAGGCAGCAGCAGCGGAATCACTGCGAGTTACAACAGTCGGAGAAGAGGAAGTAAAAACAGCAATACATGATCAGGATAATTCAGTCGTACACCATTCTGGAGAAAAACAAGAGCTTCTACAAGAACAAGAACCTGAACCACAAGAAAAAGAACAGCATGAAAAGCGGCAACACCAACAGCGTGAACATTCCGCAGGAAATGGCGACGAAGCCGCGAACGACAATACTGCTAATGGTACAAATGCAACTGCAATTAAGGACGACAGTGACGGCAGCACCGCGGTCCCCCACACCACCTCCCCTCTTTTGCTTTTTGTTGCGTTTGCGGCTGCGGCTGCGGTGGTGGCCGCGTGAGAGTGAGGGAGAGAGCCGTGCACCGCCCGCACACACACTCGTCCTTCTCTCACTCTCTCTGTGTGTGTGTCCCCTTGCATGGACTCTCGCCCTCACCTCACCCCACGAGGCACACACATAATGTGCCCATTGTATATATTGCATGCACACCCATGCAGGCCCGTTGGTGCTCTCTTTTGCACCACACGCACCGCTGCCGTCCTGCCTGGCTGCATGGGCGGAGCACCGTAACTGTTTTTGTTTTGTTTCATTGCATTGAGTGGGCGACCTCTCTCTCTCTCTCTCTGTGTGTGTGTGTGTTTTGCTTTACGGGAGCAATGAGAGTGTGTGCGCTGGTCGTCCCACGGTTCGGCTTTTTGTTTTGTTTTTTTCCTTTTTTAATTTTTTTAATTTTTTTTCTGTTTGCTTTATAATTTTTTTGGTGCTCTTTTTTTGTTATTAATTTGTGCGTTTTAAATCTCTAATCCCTCTTTTTTTTTCTTTTTTTTTTTTTTCGTTTTTGGGGGCAATCACTATGGACGTTTTTTCTTTTCTACTCTTCCCTCTTTTAATTGTTTCTTCTGCACTCTTCCTGTGAGGGGTGCCGTGTGTTTCCCGCCCAACTGCTCCACTCGCACACCCACCGACACGCTCGTGACGACGGCCCTGTGCGCCTCGCCTGCTGCACGCATGAGGAGGGGCCGCGACGAACGGCGCGCTGAGGGAGCCGTGACGTGTGGGCGTGCGACGAGGGCCTGTGGGGCGGAGCACACATTTCTTTCCCTCTTGTTTTGTTTCTTGCGGCGAGGGCGGGCAGACATCCGCAGCGCCACACACACACAGCCACACCCTGTCGCCGTGTTTTTGTTTTCTTTTTTGTGGATGGGTGTGTGCTGCCACCGTGCGTGATTGTTGAGGTTGAGGCCGTACCGCATGTATCGCTGCCATCCAGGTGTGCCTCCTGCCATGTTGATGTGCCTCCCTGTGCTTCTCTTTTCAGCTTCTCCAACAGACACCCACACACATAAGTAGTTGCACAGCGCTTTGCAAGAATGTATTTGCACTGCCGGTTGCGTGCTTTGCTCGGTGTGTGCTGGCGCGTGACGGACGGTGCAACGATGGTCTCCTTTGGCGATGACAGTCGCTGTGTTCTCGGCACACACTTCCACACACTCTTCCTTGTCTCTCTGTGGGAGTGATTGCGGCAGCAGCGTGGTCTACGGCAGCGGCTGTTGGTGCTGCGGAGAAGGTCGAGGCGCCGAGGAACAAGAGGGCGAACCTGCTGGACGCGATTACGATGGCGGATGAAAGCTGTTTCGTTGCCTGTGCTTCGTACATTGCTATTAATGCGCCGTGTCGCTGCCTGACGGGATGCCTGCACTCGGCGCCCTTCGAGGCATTGTGTTGTTTCATTCAGTGTGATGTCACAATCATCATGGCAGCATCTTCCCTCAACGGCTCCGAGTGTGACAATACGAATGACGGCAAAGAGAGCGATGAGGATTATGGTGACGACTTGCACCGAGGGGCGGATTATTTGCGTGTCTTTGCACACGAATCCCAGGAGGGTTTGAATGCCGTCTCCACAATCCCCGGCCTTGCGGTACTGTTGGCTTTCGCGCTGTCACCCACCGTAATTAGTGCCCCATGCGTTGAGGCTGATCCATTTACCGTGGAGTTCACGCAGCAGCTCTCGAGTGTTTGTGCTGCTGGTCCCGCGTTGGCCCTTTCGCATGTATTTCAGCGTTGCCTGGCGTGTGATTTGATCTCTGTGTTGTCCAGGCCGCCTCGAGTTTTCTTTTGGTGTCCAATAAGAAACACTTTGCGTTGCGGTGGATATTTATTTGCATGGCCGTCGATGCACGTGATGATGCTCAACGGGTGTGTCTTTTGTTTGGTGGGCACGAGGGAGACTTCGGTGTGTGCCGACACCTCCGCGAAAGTCTCAGTTGACGGATCGAGGCGAAAATAAGGGAGGTCTGTCCGCTGCATCTCTCAAGGCAGCTGCGAGGCACTCCGAGCGCACAGAGTGAATGGATGGATGCCGCGCAGCTGGGGAGACCAGTTTTCTTCTTCACCCTCCGTTGCCGGGGGAATCGAGAATCCACAGCGTCACTGCCACCTGCATTTTACTGCTGGGGATCGACTGTTCTGAAGTTGCCCGTCTAATGTGAATTGCAGCGTCAGTGCAGGAAGACACTTTCACGCATTGCGAGTAGTTGCTCCAGGCTCGAGCTCATCAATACTTACAGCAGGGAGCAATGCATCTTGGTGGCCGGTGACGTTCAGACGAGTTTGTTTCACTTCACCCGCCTCGTATTTGTGGGGGACACTGCGCATCGACCCTCCCCAACAGTTCCACCACCTTCACTTTCCCCCGCCGACCGCTGCCCTCTGCTGACGGTACAGTTGTTTGGCTCCGCCAATAATGCGCTCGTGAAACGTCCTCTCCGCACTCTGCAGGATTATTGCCGTGGAGGAGTTGATGGCATATGGTGCGGGTGTGGCGTCGACAGAGTCATCCACGCATTGTTTTAGAAACATGACTCTGAGTCGTGTCAGTCATGCCGTGTGTACCTTTTCTTGTTGGGAGTCTTGTGGGTTTGTTTGAGCCCTTTTTCTCCAATTTGTTTGCTGAAAAGATCAAATGCTCTGCCGCTGCACATCGCCGGTTTTCCATGGCGGTGAATTGAGCAGATGCCGGGGGAATTTCAGGCGGAGCAAACCGAGGTTTGCCTCACTTGCTGCTTCCGCATGACGATGGGTGGTGGGCAACAGGGGAGGAGCATGCGGTGGCAGCAACTCGTGCCTTGCGGGATAAAAATTCAGACCTACCAGTGTGGCGAGAGTGCTGACGCAGAGTCCGTTACTGAGGGAACACAATATGGAGGCGGACTGCCAGCGGAGCATCGCGTGGTGGCGCGCATTTCTTTCATTGGTGGGGTGACAGCCGAGCCTTCCAATCAGCTTGACTCTGATATTCTGCTGCGCCTGATGGGACACTTTATCGCCATGGCAGAGCAGCCGTCTGACTCTCTTGTTGACATCATGGCTTGGAGAATGGGACTTTCTCTCCCATTGTACCCAACAGAGCCGGCACTGGCGCGTTGTTGCTGTGTTGATGATGACGCTGTGACGGAGGGAATAGCGGTTGTGTATTCACGATGAAACCTACCGGAGACGTATTCATCGCGTGCGTTTTCCACCTCAGCACGCGGTGGGTGGCGGTCCTTTGAGGATTATTGTGGACGGGCTGTTTAACCGCGGCCTTTTAGTGAATGAAGTCTTTGTGGAAGATGATGCGTTCCGCATGCAGCACAACGGATGCCCCCAGTACTCCTTGGAGGAGTGTAGGCGAATCCTGCGGGAATTGATGAGGGACGGCCTGCTTGTGATGTGGCATGAGGCAAGTAACCGTCGTTTGGCGCACTCAAGCAGTATCCCCTATAATGCGCCTATCGGCTGTGAATTGCATGGACACATGCAGACCGTGCACATCCTCGTGGAGCCGCAGCACGCACGTTGGGGCTTTTTCGAGTCCCCTCAATACTGTGAGTTTTTTTTTTGAATGTGCCATCGCCAGAGAGCGAGACAACCCTGGCCAAGTTGGTTGTACTTTTCCAGGGACAAGGCAGTCGAATATTTGGGTCCCGTGTGCGGTACGTTGCTCTACCCTGCCGTCTGCACTGTTGCCTCTCTAACGACATTCTTGACCCATTTTTGCCACCGAGAAAGAGAGGGCTGGCTCCGAATACCGTTTATCTGCGGACGCAACTCAGCAGTCTTACGTGCCATATCTTCCACGCGTATTTTCGAGGGTACGCGTCATTTATCTGGACGCCAACAACGCCATCGTATCATCCGATGCGACACCCTTGCACCGTTGTTGTTGTCGTCATGGTAATTTTGTTTTTTTTCCCCGACGGGAGTGAGACAGGTTTTGTTTTTCACCTGTACGATGTACTGACTCCCACTGTGGGCGCTGAGAGCGTGCAGCGGAACGATGGCGAGCCCACAGAAACTATATTGCTTAAAAAGTGGAGGGCCGTTTGTTGTGCAACTAGGAGGAGATGGTTGTGGTTCTCTCCTCCTTCTAGTTTTTGGTGGCTGTTATGTCGTTATGTGTGTGTTTCGTGTGTGGATCCCGTTTTGCAATGCGTGCAGTGTTCGAGTTGTACCTGCCACGGGAGGTCGCATCATTACCGCGCACGCAACAGCGACACTGGGACGATGTGTGTGTGTCTTTTTGCTGCACATCTTTCTATTTTCTTTTTGCCCTTCTATTCTCCGCTCTGTGCGCAGATCTGCTCACCGATTTCAGCAACTCTACTACTACTACTACTACTACTACTACTGCTGCTGCTGCTGCTCCTCTTGTACGCGGAAAATGATGATGATTGTGTGGCGTGTGTGGAGACGGAGTTGTTGTGTGGAAGCAAAGATCCCAGTGTGCACTGGCGCCCAGTCGGCGAGAGCAGCTGGACTGCGTGTCGTACTGATAAGAAACAAGACAGTCGAGATCTAACGGAAGAGGAGGCTTTCAATGCGATATTCTGCGATTTTGCGGCGAAGAGTTGCTCGGATCACGATGGCACGAATAATTCCGTAGGAACGGAGGAATATTTGACTCCTGACCTCACGACGCCCAATACCACCGATGTGTGCAGCAATGGGACAGTATCCGTGGTCCTCGGGCACCCGCCCCGCCGCCAAGGAGCCGACAAACAGCGGTGCGTGCAGCAGCGCCACACAGAGCACATCTGCTTTAAACAAGAGGATCTAAGCGAGCAGAGGAATCTTGTTCGAAGGTGACATGTCCTTGCCGACGGTGGACAGCAGCGAAATTATCATCTTGTGTGTGGAAAAACCACTGCTGCCTCTGCTTTTGGGACTGTGTGGAGTTGTGGCAGTCTTCTGAGACACGGAGTGTGGATTTGCGATTTCTCACGGAGAATATGTGCCGCGTTTTCTGCGGGCTTGCTTTTTACTTTTGTTAGTGTTGTTTTTTGCTGTTGTTTTCCTGGAATGATAAGAACCCTTTATTTACGTAATGTTCGGCTGCCGTACATTGTCATGTGTGACGTGCTTCTCCTCCTTGTTTTGTTGTTTGTTGCCCACACGCGGTGCCGGCCTCATTGCAGTGCGTCCCACGGACTACATGAAACGAGGATTGGAGGAACAGGCCGGATGCCGCAATGAAGTGCGAAGAGTGTTTTGTGTGGGCTGGTGGAAAAACAAGATATTTTTTTTTCTCATGCAGGCAATATTTATACAAAAACACAGACCTGCTGAGCTGCATGGCGTATGAAATGTTAATTCTGCTGAGGTGTTTTTTTTTTGTTTTGCGGAGGGACTCCAGTTGGGCAATCAACTACTTTTTTTGTTTTGGTATTGCTTTTTTACTTCTGGTTTGCAGGTCGGTGTGCGTGCTTCTGCAGGACTGCTGTCAGTTTTTACGGTGCGCGTTGTTGTGTGAAATGTCTTCTTTCCTTTCACTCTGCGTTGACGGGGTGTTATTTTGTGCTGAAGGCTGCACTCAAGTGACAGGAGTGATGGCGATGATGATGACTGGCCGTGTGCTGCTGGTGTGTGGCCTCTGCGTGCTGTGGTGCGGTGCCTGGTTGTGTGATGCGGCGGAGACTTCATCGAGTGCTCCGCATCGTGATAATGCGGAGTAAACGATGACTCCAGAGGAGGTGACTGAGGCTATCGAAAAGCTCGCAGAGGGAGTGCTGGACATGATTCGAGTATCTTGTCGAATGTCTTTCATTACGAGTGTAAATGCCACGTTACCCGCGCACAACGACACAGAAGTTGAGAAATGCGTAAACAAAACGGCGGTTGAGATTTCCGGCGTCACCCCTCGTGGCCGGCCTGCAGCCGCAACCACAGACGCCACTTTGGCCTCGCCATTGCCGTCGTCAAGTTCTGCTACCAGCGCCTTGCAGGGGCAGGCGCAAGGATCACCGGGTGCTGCACCAGAGCCTGTGAAACCCCCGCAGACAGATTCAGTCAATACCGAACAGCTGTCTGAAACGCCGGCCTCCACAGGCGGTGGTGAGTTGGCTGACAGGAGCAGCCATACACCGACCGACGTCGCAAGAACACATGAAGCAGGCCCAGCTGGTAACGCCACTTCCACACCGACGGCCACTCGGGGAGATTCCGAGAAGTCACCGGCGATCACCACCCGAACACTTGAGACAAACGAGACTGGCGACAGTGACGGCAGCACCGCGGTCTTCTACACCACCTCCCCTCGTTTGCTTCTTGTTGTTGCGTGTGCGGCTGCTGCTGCGGTGGTGATCGTGTGAGAGTGAGGGAGAGAGAGCTATGCACCGCCCGCACACACACTCGTCCTTCTTTCTGTGTGTGTGTCCCCTTGCATGGACTCTCGCCCTCACCTCACCCCACGAAGCACACACATAATGTGCCCATTGTATATATGCATGCACACCCATGCAGGCCCGTTGGTGCTCTCTTTTGCACGACACGCACCGCTGCCGTCCTGCCTGGCTGCATGGGCGGAGCACCGTAACTGTTTTTGTTTTGTTTTTATTGCATTGAGTGGGCGACCTCTCTCTCTCTCTGTGTGTGTGTTTTGCTTTACGGGAGCAATGAGAATGTGTGTGCTGGTCGTCCCACGCTTCGTTTTCTTTTTTATTGTTTTACTTGTTTTGTGGTTGGGTTTACTCACTTCGCGGGCTGTGTGTGTGTGTGTGACGATATGAGTAGTCTCCTTTTGTGCTATCTGTATCTCTTTGCCGTTGCCTTCTCTTGCCCCTCTTGTGCCGTGCAGCTGCTCTGCAACTGTAAGCACTGAAAAACACACGGCACATTAAAATACACACAAGCACACATACGCCATGTCGCTCACGCTGTGGAGCGGTGTGAACCCCGAGAACGCACGCACGCACAAGCTTCTGGCTGCTGCGGCCCTCGCCAACGTTGCGGTGACGCTGAAGGCGTGCGAGTACGGCCGCGAGAACGAGACGGCGGAGTACTGCCGCAACTGCAGCCCGTGCGGCCGCTACCCCGTGCTGCAGACGGAGGAGGGCTGTGTGTTCGAGTCCAACGCCATCCTGCGCCACATCGCGCGCCTTGACCGGAGCGGCGGCTTCCTGTACGGCCGCACGCCGCTGGAGGGCAGCCAGGTGGACATGTGGCTCGACTTTTCGGCAACGGAGCTGGACGCTGCCTCCGCACCGTTTGTGCACCACGCCTTCCGTGACGAGTGCGGTTCTTTATTTTGTTATGTCACTTATTTTTTTTATTTCTCTTGAATCGATTGTATGGCGCGCGTTGCGGTAACTCGCGCCTACGGGCTTTATGGTGTGGCAGCTGCGCCGCAGCAGAACGTGTTTTTTCCCGGCGGTGGTCGATGCGTCCGGCCATGTGCCAACAACCGTTCTGTGGGAAAACCGCTGTTTTATTTTGGCTTACCATAGAATTGTGTCCGCGTTTTTCGAAAAAGTGGCTCTTTTACCGCGACGGGATGGTTAGATATCAGATAATCAGGGCACGGAGACGCAGCTTCCAATGGCGGTGTACGTTTCTGGCGATGTCTTTTGCAAGGCTTTGTGGTGGTAAACACTTTTGCGGTGGTCGATGCCTTCCAAATATGCTTTTTTTTTCGTGTGCGCTCCAGCGTTACATAGAAGCCCGCATTCCATCCAACTATTCTGCGGGAAATTCGCGTCGTGGTGCCCTTTGCGGCGCGGAAATCGGCGCCTCGACGGGTGGCGGTAGCGTCCGCCAAATGCCCTTTTTTTTCTCCCCGCACGCCTTGTTCCGTGGTCGCGGCCGGCGTGGCTGCTGGGCTTTTTCGCAGTCCTTGATCAACTAACGCCCCGCGGTTTCGCAAGAGATTGCTGTTTCCAGGGCCCGTTGCAGGGCATAGATCCCCGCATCCGCGAGGTTACCGAAAATTGGTTGCTTCTTGCGGTGTGTGTTGTTGGCGCTTGCGGTTTCCTTTGCTTTTGTCGCTTTTCCTAGAGGACACCGTGGCAGAACCACGCGGAAAACAACGGCAACATCGCCCAGGATCGGTGCTGCTGGCGTGTTCGTCTGTGTTTTTTCCTTTTTTTTCAATTCTCGTGTCCATGAAAAAATTAAAAAAAATTTTGGGAAAAACTATGCCGCGACCCGGGATCGAACCAGGGACCTTCAGATCTTCAGTCTGACGCTCTCCCAACTGAGCTATCGCGGCTACGTGTTTTGTTTGAAGTTTTTTGGTGCGCAAAGAAATGTTCAAGAATTTTTTTAAATTTCGCTGTTATTTCTTGTCTTTTCTTGAATTGGCCTGCCCTCACGCGGACGTTGTGGCGCAATGGAAGCGCGTCGGATTCCGGATCCGAAGGTTGCGGGTTCGACCCCCGTCAGCGTTGGTTTTTTTCTCATTGTTTTAAACATTGTTTTTTCTCGGTATGAATTGGAAGATGCGGAGTTTGTTGGGCGTGTAGCTCAGTGGTAGAGCGTCCGTTTCGCATACGGAAGGCCTAGGGTTCGATCCCCTACTCGTCCACCTTTTTTCCTTTTTTTTGGAAATTCCGAAATTTTCGATTTTATCCTCTTGAAAACGTTTGGTGACGAGCGTTCAGAACTTCTCGTGGAAAAAAAGAATATATATAGATACATATTATATGTGTTGGTTCCTAGGAAAAAGTGGCCATGTCTGTGAATTAAAAGCGTAGTCGCACTAAACATCTCCAGGAAGATCGCCCATGCCGAATCCTCGGCGTGAATTCAGGGTTTCTTTTTTTTTTTTTTTTCCGATCTGGGACAGGCATTGCGTTTACTCTTTTCTCTGTGGTGAAAGAAAACGTGAGCGGAATGGGGGCACCAAAGGCAGAATGCATAAATAACGAGAACAACGGTGACGACCTTGGTGAGGCCACATTCCTTCTATAGCTTGCATTTTGGGGGCGAGCTTATTATTATTATCATTTTCGGTTGAATTACTTTCGGCAAAACCATAAGGTAAATAGATGCCGAGCGCCGGGTATGGCCAAAGTGTGTGGGGTTCACGTCTTACCCGCGTGCTGCACCGTGGGGAGGTGGATGTTGCAATTTTTTTTGCTTTTGACTTCTGATTCGGGCCTATAAAGAGACAGTATCCGATATACGGATAAGAAAGATGATGCGTTGGCCTGCGATGGCGTTGCGCTTTGTGTGGGAAAAACTTGTGTGTGTGTGTGTTTGTGGCATTTCCACAAACAATTCATCTCAATCGATCAATGTATGCACGGGTATCCTATATGCATATTCTTTTTGCCTTTTCTTTTATTATTATTATTTTTATTATTTACAGTTGGCTTTGGTTTAAACCTTTTGTAGATGCGAATATTTCCCCAAACACGCACAGAGATGTCCCTTCTCTATTCTCCAAATTTCCCTGGCTTGGCATCTGTTGGGGTCTTTGAGACGCCAACTAATGCATGCATGCACTTACGTGACGGCATCGTCGCGGTTTGTCGCCGCTCCCCCTAAATTCCGCATGGAACGTCTGTGCCTGAGAAATTCGTGATGATTGATGAGAACCCTTCTTTATTCAGCAATGCTGAACCCTCCACTAAAAGTAACTGCAGGCACTGAAAGCAGTGCTCACTGTACATATCACAACACCAAAAACACCTAAAGAGAGAGAGAGAAACAGAGAGGGAAGGGGGGGGGGGGGGGGGGGGGGGGGGGAAAAAAGGGAAAAAAAAAAAAAA